AGCTCAGGTGAATTTGCTGCAATATTGTAATTATAACTCTAAAGCAAGTACACTCCTAGTTGAGGTTTGATGTCAGGAGAAAGTGAGGCACTTTTAAGTCACTGATCATTTAGCAAAGAAGGAGGTTTACTTTGTCCTAACACATCAAAGCTGTACACCAAGATACAGTGGCATTATTTTCTCTGGATGTACCCCTCCCCCTTGTCCCTATCTGGAAATGCATCTGGTTAGTCATCAGGGTACAGCAACTCCCATGGTCTTGGGCCCCCACCAAGTCTGAGAGACCTCAACTATGCGAACTTGGGACCTTTATACCCTGAGACCAAGGAGCTGGGGCCAGTCAGATTGCACAGAGGAAGGAAGCTGTGTCTGGGTTGAGGAAGCTTCATTCAGATACAACTGGTCTCTCACACCCACCAGGTTGGAATTCCAATCTTGGTTCAAGTTCACAGAACATTCAGATGAATTTGTTCCTGAGTGTTGCCATGAACTTATGAATTTATGAACCTGGTTTCAAGGCTATGGCTCATGGATCATGTTGAACTGAAAGGTTTGGACCAGAAGATCCTGAGTCACCCCTCCCACTTGGAAATATAAATCTTGATTGGATTACTTAGTGAAGGGGATAGGTTCTAGGGGATGACTTACAAATATTGAACTTGTTTGTGATTGAAAATACAATGACATCCCAAAATTTATTGTTCCCTGTGATTTGAGGATCAAGAGTTGATGTGAGCATATCTTAGGTCTGATTCTCTGAATCTCAGTGACACCTGGTCAGATTAGTTTTCCTCTGAGCCACCAAATATTCATTTGTCCTCCAAGGTCTATTGTATACCTTGTGGTAAGGAGCTTCAGTAAACAATTAGATATAATGGCTCTTGTAGAATCTAAACAAAAGGGGTCATTACAGGAGAATCCTAAAGCCAAGGAATATAGAAGAGATTCCAGGGAGGAGGCAGGAATGAAGAATAAGTAGGTACACAGTTCTTAGATAATATGCTTTTCTTTATCCCTTCCATAATTTTCCAGAGGATAAAGACCTCTTCAGCATTCTGTGCCTCTTGCCATTTCCCAACTTGAAAAGAGTGACCCTAAGGACTAACTGAAGGCTGAGGAAAACTTCAAACAATTTGAATGAAATCCTTGCAAAGCTTTGTGACAAAACCCCATACCAGGATTTACGAGTCTTGGCCGTGGATTTTGAAGCCTTCCTGGACAGAGAGCACTATGAGAATGTGCAACAAGATCTCTTTGGATCCCGGAGTCATGATTGGGGAACAGTGCCTAACCTCCATTATGGGGATCCAAAAAAAATGACTTAAAAGGAAAAAAAATAGCATTGTCGAGAGGTTCCTTGCTTTTACTCCATGGAGCAGGTTTTGCTCCTGAAGGGCCATGGCCAAGCTGCCTTGCTGCCCATAACATGGGAGGTGATGGAAGGTTGCTGAGTGAGCTCAGAGTCAGGGAGTGTCAGTTCCTTAGGTGGGGAGCACTTTGGTGGGGGCCTTAACCTTCTTTTGGATCCTGGGTATCCTAGACCATAGAAACAACTGAAGTTGCTTTATCTTTGTCACATAATTTCTGTTTTTAAGAGGTTGTGGGTTTTGGAGAAAACGTCTAGTCCACAATCCTGTTGCTCACATGATCCAGAAGTCCAGTAAGCTTCTTTCATATTGGACTCATGACAAAGTTCCTTCTCTGTCTAGGAGGAGCCATGTGTCTCCCCTCAGGTCACCTGGCAAGTCTCCATCAATCAATTAATTTGCACTGTCCTCACTTGGAATATGGGGATGCTTACATCTCAAGTGAAGGGAACGCAGGAGCCAGTCTCAGGCTCATCTGCTGGCTGTGGCCTTCGGTGGTTTTGGGGTTTTTTACATAAATATGGTTCTAACATGGGTATTCCTAAGTTGCATGCCATATAATTTGATACTTGTCTACATAAAATACTAAAAGTTGTTTATAATTTTTTCATTAATGGTCTGTTTTATCAGAACGTCCATCTATATTTATTAGCTGTTTAAGAACATACACAAGTTGTTTAATACATCATACCATACACATGTTTATCTTATTATTGAAGAACAATTTATAGAAAAACAAGTTACTCAGAACACCTTAATCACAAAATAGAGGCTTAAAACAAAATGGAGTCAGTTGTATAAAGTTGACAAGCTTATACCTACTATCTTATTAAGGTATTAAAACTTACTGTCACTATAACTCTTCTGGCCCAGTCAATATTACATCATCAATGTAGGGATGCTTCAGGAAAGGAAACCTCATTTACTTCTTTGGTCACCAAAACTTAACGACATGAGGAAGAGTACAAATAACCTGTAGATGCATAGTCAGCATATCCTAGATTCCTTCCCAAGTTAAAGTAAACTACTATTGATTAGTCTCAGTTACAGAGTTAGAGGAAAAAAATTGGTGACATCAATAATCATATACTGCTTACTCTGAGTTTGGTCTGCCTGGTCCAGCACATTGAAAACTTAGGCATTAACCATACGACAAAGATATTCAAACTCACTATTGATTGGAGAAATGCAAATTAAAACAATTCTGAGGTACTACCTCATACCTACTAGATTGGCTAATAGGACAGAAAAGGTAAATGACAAACGTTGGAGTGGATGTGGGGAAAATGAGACATTAATGCACCGTTGGTGGAGTTCTGAACTGATTCAAGCATTCTGTGGAGTAATTTGGAACTATGCCTAAAGGACTACAAAACCATTCATACCAGTTGACCTGGCAATAGCACTACTAAGTCTGTATTCCAAAAGAGATAAAAAAACAAAAAGGAAAAGGACCTATATGTACAAAAATATTTCTAGCAGCTCATTTCTGGGGGTAAAAAATTAGAAGTTGAGCAGAAGCCCATCAATTGGAGAATGGCTGAACAAGTTGTGGTATGTGATTATGATGGAATACTATTGTGCTATAAGAAATGATGAGCAGACAGACTTCAGAAAAACCTGGAAAGACTTGTATGGTCTCATGCTGAGTGAAGTGAGCAGAACCAGGAGAATGTTGTACACAGTAACAGCCATGTTGTACGATAACTAATATTGATAAACTTAACCCTTCCCAGCAATAAAAGGATCTAAGACATCTCCAAAGGCCTTGTGATGGAAAATGCTATCCACATCCCAAGAAAGAACTATGGAAGTTGAACTGCTATCTTTTTTTTCTCTTCTGCTGAGTTTTGTTTCCTCTTTCTGATGGTTCCTCCTATTGGTTTTAATTTTTACTTGCCACATCACTAATGTGAAAATATGTTTAATAGGAATATAAATGTATAACCTATATCAGATTGTGTGCCGTCTTGGGGAGGGTGGTGGGGAGGAAAGGGGAGAAAAATTTTAAACTCAAAAGCATATGGAAGTGATTATTGATAAATCAAAATAAATTAATAAAATAAATTTTTAAAAACTCCAAAAAAAAGGACTTTAGTTGACATTAAAGTGCATTTTTTCTAACAAATATTTTGGCCACAGGGGACATCACATAACTATGTTCACAAATAACCACAGGCTGATCTTTTCAGTAGGTATATTCAGGTCAGACAGGTCACTGCTGATTCCTTCATTAAAATGAAGATATTCCTTCAGTGGATAACAAGAAATTGGTATGTAGGTAGGGTGAGCTGGTATTTGTTGGCCTCTTCTTTACTATATGTAATGAGATAAATGGGGTGGGAAGAAATTCTACACACAATCCTTTTCTTCTGCCAACAATGCTATATTTAAGTACTTTTATTGTTTGCTTGCTCAAAATTTCTCAGGTAAATCTTATTGCAAAATTGTCAAAACAGTTTTTCTCCTCTTTTATTTCCTTGTGAATAATACAATAAAACAGATTTCTTCAGAAAAAAATAAAAATTTTAAAAACTTAAAGAAATGATGAGCAGGATGCTCTCAAAAACCCTGGAAAGACTTACACAAGCTGATGGAAAGTGAAATGTACTGTATACAAAGTAACAGCAATATTGTGGGCAGATCAGCCGTGAATGATTTAGCTCTTCTCAGCCATGCAACAATCCAAGACGACTCTGAAGGACTTGTGATGAAAAATGCTGTCCAACCTCAGAAAAAGAACTGATGGTGTCTGAACACAGGTTGAAGCATGCTTTTTTTTAAGCTATATTTTTCTTAAGGGTTTTTTTGTCTATGTTTTCTTTCACAACGTGACTGCTATGGAAATGTTTTCTGTGACTGCACACCTATAACCTACATCGAATTGCTTGCCTTCTCAATGGGGGTGGGGGTAGGGGGTGTTGGGGAAGGGAGAGGATGTGGAAATCAAAGTTTTTAAAAGGAAGGTTAAAATGTTTTTACATGTAACTTTTTTACATGTTCACATAAAATACTAAATAAAAACTTAAAAAAAGAAAGAAAAGTTAGACATGATGGCAATAAATAACATGATTGCTCTCTTATCAACCCCAGGTATGGGGGGGAGGGGGAAGGGAATACACAAAGATTCCTTCAGACGAAGGTATCCTTGTCGGTTGCCCAACTAGCAGGGTCGGGTTCGGTGCTTTTTTTTTTTTTTTTATTTGGCCAGGCAATGGGGTTAAGTGACTTGCCCAGAGTCACACAGCTACTAAGTGTTATGTGTCTGAGACTGGATTTGAACTCAGGTCCTCCTGAATCCAAGGCCGGTGCTCTATCCACTGCGCCACCTAGCTGCCCCTCTGTTTTCCTTTTTTTGTCCGGTTACAACTAGCGACTACCGATCCCGCGGATCCCGGAACTCTCCTGAACGAGACACAAATCCGGGGGCTCAATTCTCGACGGAACTGAAGAGACAACCGGAAGTTCTCGTGGCCCGCAGCCAGCCGAATCAAGCGAGGTCCCTTCATTTCCCGTGACTGACTCTTAGCCAATAAGCGCCAAGAAGGAAGTTTTGTGCCTGAGGCTGGACCTATAGCGAGGCTCCCCTTCCTTGGACCGGCCTTCCTTCTTTACTTCCGCCTCTTCTCCTTCCTTTCGCGCTTCGGCAACATGGCGGCTGCGACGGCAGCCTCGGGTTCCTCCCCGACTTCGACCCCAGCCCCGACCCCGACCCCGGCGTCTGCCCCGGATCCCTCCCTGGCCTCCGCCCCAGCGCCTGCCCCGGCCCAGCCACAGACCCAGGGCCAGGCCCCGGCGTCGGCGCCTCCGCCGGCTGCCCCGACTCCGGCGCCGGCCCCCCTCGGGCCTGGGCTCCCCGGGCCGTTCCCCGGCGGCCGCGTGGTCCGGCTGCATCCGGTCATCCTCGCGTCCATCGTGGACAGCTACGAGCGTCGTAACGAGGGCGCGGGCCGCGTCATCGGCACTCTGCTGGGTAAGCGGCGCCCCAGCTTGGCCCCCCGCAGAGTCTCTCCGCCCCTTCCCCAGCACCCCTCCGTGCTCCCTCTGGGGAAGCCATCGCGCGGAGCCTCATTTTTTCCATCTGTAAAACCAGGGGGTTGAACTGGATGGTTTTCAAAGTGTGGCACCGACAGTCTGTCCGGCATTCAGAGCCTTTCTTAATCCTCCATCGACTGGTCATGTTTGTCTGCTTGTGGCCTGGCGGAGGGGGAGGATCGAGGCGTGGAGAAGGCGCTTCCAAAATCCTTAGCTGAATTGGATTGACGTTCCCGAGATGTTGACAGTTTCTTGTGGTCGTGGACAGAATTGAAAGATATGAGCTAGAAAATAGTACAGCTCAGCTAAATCTGAAACTTTCCGGGAACGACTGGTTTCTATGCTGTTGTATTGTGTTTCAAAGAATATCTTTTTGTTAGCGAATGGCTCGGTGTCAAATTGGAAGAAGAGGCTCTGGGTGAGGATCCCACGGTCCTGTGTTTAATTTTGGTTTTCCCCAGTGATTTAGTAAAGACAGAAATGGCACATTTGCTAAATTTTCTTGTCGCACAAATCTGGGAAAGACAGCATCACTCCAAAGTCTAAAGTTGAGATCAGTGGTTTCCAAAATGGGGACCTGATCCCAAGGAGTTTATAGTCAGTCACTTCTGTGCAAGGACAGCCTCTCCAGTACAAACACTCCACCCCCTGCTCCGTGCAGACCAACTGGTTTCCTCCCTCCTAAGCCAGGCCTGCGGACAGTTTGGGCAGGCACTTAGGTACCATTTAGGAAATTCCACCCACCCACATCACCTCACGACAGTAGCAGGCCCCTCTCAGAGGGCAGGCTCCCCTCTTTTCTCTTAGGGGGCATCGGAGTTACATCGGATAAGCAGGCATGGGTGAGTTGTGACACATCACAGATCTCACTGTATTGCCTTTAGCCCCCTACTCTCTCTTCCAAATTTTCCTATTACTGTCACGGGTATCACTGTTTTTCTAGTCACACAGATCAGCATCTCAGTGTCATCTGCAGCTCATCCGCATATCCAATTAGTTGCCGTATCTTGTCATTTTTATTTCCACATCCTTCGAGCCACCACCCTATACTAGCTGCAACAGCTTTCTAATTGGCCATCTTGCTTTGTCTTTCAGCTTTCTGATCCATCTTCCATATGGCTGCCAAGTAACACATAATTCTGACAATGTCACTCTCCTGTTAAAAAAATCTATTGTTTTATAATTATATAATTATTAGTACAGTAGTCTATGTAAGTAACGTTTAAGTAAATATACACATATTGGGGAAGTGTACTTGTCAAAAAAAGTTTGTTTCTTTTTGTTTCTTTTGTTGTTGTTGTTTTTGACTAGGCGGTAGAGCTAAGTGACTTGTCCAGGGTCACAGTGTCAAGTGTCCGAGGCCAGATTTGATCTCAGGTCCTCCTAACTCTAGGTGCTCTACCCACTGCCTACCTAGCTGCTTCCCCCCCCAAAAAAAAAAAATTTGAAGACTGCTGAATTAAGCAAAAAAATCCGAATAGGAATTTCACCCCACTTACTCACTATGCTGCCCCCACCAGTAGGGCATAGTTCAGCAGGAATTGAAGTACCTTCATTTTGGATAATGTGCTTCTATAACTGCTGATTCTTTTTACACGATGGCTGGACCCTTGTCTCCAGTACTTATTTGTTCTGGGACCCTGGGCAGTTATGAGCCTTTTCGTCACCTATAAACTGGGGTAATAATAGCCCCTTCTCACAGAGTAATGAGAATAAAATGAGAGAGCCTATGTAAAGTGTTTAGCAGACCTTAAAGTGCTGTGTAGACGCTAGCTATTCTTGTTACGGCTTCCTCTTAACTTCTCATAGGACCATAAGCTCTTGGGGCCAAGACTCTGTCTTATAACCTTTTACCTCTTGCTGCTTAGAACTGGCACATAGCAGGTGCTTAGGTGATGCACAGCCCCCGGGGAGATGAAGGGGTGGGCGTGAGCATCATCAGTGTATGGAACACTTGCGCTGACCCATCACTGGCTTGCTTTCTCTTGTAGGAACCATTGACAAACACTCAGTAGAAGTCACCAACTGCTTTTCAGTGCCGCATAATGAGTCTGAGGATGAGGTGAGTGGGAGTTTGGGGGTGGACCGGAATTGGGAGCTGTCCTGCTTCATGGCAGCTAGTCTGTGGCCGGGGCACCCTGCACTTGCCCTGCAGCAGAGCACAAGGTTAAGAACTTCTAAGACCATAGTCAGTTTTACTGCTTCTGTGGTAGGAATCTAATATTACCATTTATGAGATAGAGACTGCTTCTTTAGGTAACCTTTTTTTTATTCTCCTATCTCCCAAGTTTCATCACCAAGGAATCAGTTGCTTGGGTTTTAACCATGAATTTCATGTTCTTCTCTACAGGTTGCTGTGGACATGGAATTTGCTAAGAATATGTATGAATTACACAAGAAAGTCTCTCCAAGTGAGCTTATTTTGGGTTGGTAAGTTAGACTCCAGATTGGGTCAAGGCAAGATGGAAAGTGTGTTAGTACTAGTTTGTGAGACTTTGGTAATAAACATGCTGCCTTTGGGGTAGCTAGCTATTTTCCTCTGATGTCCCAGGCTTGGCTCTGTAGCCTCCTTCCATGGAGTAAAGTTAAAATTAGGGGCCATTTCCTTAGAGGCTCAGTTTAACCACTATACATTTCTTAAGCATCTGCTATGTGCCAGTCACTGTGCTACTAGGTATTCAGTCTATTGAAAGAATGAAAAATTACTTCTCAAGGAGTTTACATTCAGTGTGGGAGCCAGCAAGTACACTGAGAAGTACCTTTGTGGCTTTAGGCAAGTCACTTGATTTCTGTAGGCCCCAAGTTGCTCATCCATATAGAAGGAGGGCATTGGACTAGATGATATTTGAAGTTCCTTCCAACACTCATTTTTAAAAATTATATTTTTATCCACTAGTGTCTGGCATGTCAGAGGTGCCTAATATGTGCTAGTTGAATTATTCAATCCTATCACGTTATATTTTCCAGGTATGCCACAGGTCATGACATCACCGAACACTCAGTACTGATTCACGAGTACTACAGCCGGGAGGCCCATAGCCCCATTCATCTTACTGTGGATACCAGCCTCCAGAATGGGCGAATGAGCATCAAAGCTTATGTCAGGTATGATACTTGGAGGGACCAGTGAGTCAGCGTGGGAAAGTAGTCACAGACATTAAGACCTTTGTGCATCTGTTAACTTTAAACAAACATACATCTGCTCTTGAACAAGCTGCCTAACCTGTCATCTAGATCTTTGAAACTCTGTCATGATTGCACAAACAGTTCTTCATAGAGCTACATGGTTTCTTGGTCCTTCTGGCCATCAATGTCTCTACTCCCCAGGATCTACCAAACGACTCCTTGAAGGAATGAACTAAAAGGTACTTCCTATGTACCGAGGGCTGTGCTAAGTGCTGAGGGTACAAATAGACAAGGCCAGACTGCCTTTGATCAAAGAGCTCCCTCTCTGATTGGGGTGGATAGAAAGGACAGGTCATGTGACAGGTCCCTCAGTTATGGAAGGTTTGGGGGGCGAGGCAGAAAATAGGGCCTGAGGGTGACGAGTCCCACATCATCCAGATGTGTGAGCAGGCATGTTACTTTATATTTGGGCATCCTAGAGGTTGGTGGAGGCTAAAACGGAAGGGATGGGAAAGGTATATTGCCTTGCCCTGACGAGTAAAGTTAGAGCTATTCATATCAACGTGGTCTAAAAAGGAAGGTGGTTACTGCAAAAAGCTGTTATAACAGGTTTGGTGTGTTGAAATGTCCAAAAACTGTTGTTTGAGCCTTGGCAAGGAAATCTTAGCTGCTACTCCAGACTTGCTTATACCTTGAGGGCATTCTTTACCCCAGCTTCTCAGTTACTCTGTTTTTGCTCGTTGTCATATCATGGCTGTGGGAATGTCTATCCAGGGTCTGCTTGATTGAACTAAATTCATCAGATACTTATGATATTGATATTCTCTCTTCCCAGTGCTTCCATGGGTGTTCCTGGAAAAACGATGGGAGTGATGTTCACTCCACTGACAGTGAAATATGTCTACTATGATACTGAGCGAATTGGAAGTGAGTAACTTTCCCTCTACTATTCCTGTAGAGCCCTTGGGTGTGTGGCCTGAGGGTTTGTAACAGACCCAGGCATTTGATCTGGCTGTGCCTGCCTGTGAGCTGGCCCTCTGGCAGGTCTTTGAGAGTCAGTGCTGTCGGGGTTACTGAGACTACATAGGCAACTGTTTCCTTGAATAAGAATCCCAGTGGCTTCATGAAACCATTTGTAAGTGGGCAGCCTGAGTAACAGTGACTTCATTTCACGTGTTTGCAGCTGCTGCTGCTGCTGCTGCTGCTTCATCATTGTGGAACTAGGCTATGCTAAGGAGAGAAACTTGCTTTCCGGCCCCAACCTCTGCCACCTCTTCTTCTCTAATTTAGACTTCCTCATTTTATTCCTTCCTTAACATTCCCTAACTGTGGTACCCCTACTGTAGATCACAAAAGGAACAAAAATACAAACCAGTCAGACAGACCTACGTGCTCTGAGCATTTCTGGGCTTGTTTGTCTCAGGTGTCCTTTAGCTAGTTTGTGGTGCTTGACTCTGCAGAGGGGGTAGAAGGTTCATGAGGCCTATGCAGTCTTACCTCACATGCCTTACAATTGCCCTGTGTCCTCCTTTGCTAGTAGCAAATTTGAATTCTGGAATTGACTGTATGTTTTCACAGAGGCTGGAATTCTGTGCTCCTGTTTTCCTATAGGACATTGGCGGCGGAGGGGAGGGGTAGCTGGAAAGACAAGGAGACAAGCCTTTTAGTAAGACTTTTAGTAGCCACAGAGGTCACCAAAATAGATGAACATTTCCTTTCGCCTGACCCACAGTTGACCTGATCATGAAGACCTGTTTCAGCCCCAACCGTGTGATTGGCCTTTCCAGTGATCTGCAGCAAGTGGGTGGGGCATCAGCCCGGATACAGGATGCGCTAAGCACAGTGCTGCAGTATGCTGAGGATGTGCTGGTGAGGAGGAGGAGGGAAGAAAGTGTGTGGTGAAGGTGGGTGGCAGATCTGGGATGGATTTGCTAGTAGAAGGGGAATAGCATGGATGGGAAGGGGATGGGGGGCCCCGAGGGTGAAGGGAAGCCAGACCATCTGAGTTACTCTTGCTTTCCATAGACAAAAAATGTGTCGTTTCTGTTATAATGAGATCTCATTTTGGTGTTCAGTCTGGAAAGGTGTCAGCAGACAACACTGTGGGCCGCTTCCTGATGGGCCTGGTTAACCAAGTTCCCAAGATTGCCCCTGAGGACTTCGAGAGCATGCTGAACAGCAACATCAATGTGAGGCTCCTGAGTCTTGTGGCCTGCCTGCCCTTCCATGAAGTTGATGGGAATGTTTATAGTGGGGCAATGAGGTGGCTGCTTAAAGAAGGGCAATGAGAATAGCTTCTGCCACTCTCGAGTGAAGGGTGAACTCTGTCCTGAACCAGCTCCATAGGCCAGAATAAGGCCTTTAAATGTCTGTGAACTGCAATGTGATATACTGTGCTTAGGGGCTGGACCCAAACAGGTTTTTTTAAAAATGGGCTTTTGGGGAGTTTATAGGCTGGTTACAGTCTAGTAGGCTGCATTCCCTTCCTTGTCTCCCCTTAGCTCCTTTTGTTACCTCAGGGTCCAAGCAAGAGGTTGAGTAGCATTGGGTCCAACATCCAAGGCAAGCCCTTTGGACAGATTTCCAGACAGGCCTTTCGGCCCTCACCCTACAAAGCTGGTGCTTGTTTGGGACACATTGTTTCCTTTAAAATTCAGTCCTGCTTCCTAAGACCCAAGGCTCCTTTGGGGTCTGTAGTTTCAGGAATGTGACTTCCTTAAGTCCCTCTCCCTTTCTCAGGCCATTAGTGGGGCAGATGGGAGAACAGAACTTATCCAGGCAAGAAATTATAGGGCCTAAAGAAGGTAGTCTTGACTTTGGAAACATTCCTGTTATTAAGCAGCCCACGAGCTATGCCAGAAGCTTATTCTCTTCATCCAGATCATTCTGCATTCAGTCCTCTTGGCTCCCTTCCTCCCCAGAGTGTCCTCCTTACCCTGTCTCCCCCTCTCCATTTAGCGTTAATTCACAGCACCTCATGAAAAGTATACTGTGCCCTGTTTGCTCTTTTTCCTATCTTCTAATCACATCACCTTTCCTCACCAGGACCTGTTGATGGTGACTTACCTTGCTAACCTAACCCAGTCACAGATTGCTCTCAACGAGAAACTTGTGAGCCTGTGAGGAAACCAGCGAGCAGCAGCCACAGCTAGCCACTCCATCCGATGTGGGTCCTCCCTTGGAGCAGAAGAACAGTGGATTCTTCTTTAACCGTCATCTTTAAGTTGCCTGTTTCTGTAGATGAGCTGTTTATAACTCCAAATAAACCACAGACATCCCTTTTCCCTCTGGGTAAGGGATTGATTGTGACCTTTCCCTTGGGGGAGGGGGTTACTAACCTGGAGACTCCTTGAAATCAAGAAATGAGTACTTCTGCAGGTGTTGGGCAAGGAAGGATTCCTTGGACACTGGGAAGCTCTTCCAAATCCCGATCTCCACCAGCTGGGGCAGTTGAGGCTCTTCCTCTCAGCCCTCCTTGCCCAATCCCCTCTGTCCTTACGTTCAGCCAGGCAAGCTTAATTGATGACTGAGTTGACATGCCAGGTTAGCTGCTTCTGTTCCTCCTCAGCCTGTTGTTCTGTCATTGCCTCATTTATATCGTGGAGAAGATGTGTAAAATCAGAGATTGGGCTAGAGACCCACAGCAGGCTCGTCCACTTCTGATTCTCCTCCTGCCACTGCTAGGAGTCGTTGCCACTTTTGTGCTGTGCCCTTGCCTCGTTACCACATTTTACCCATCCTTCGAGGGAGCGAGGACGGTTAAACTTTGATTTGACTGAGATCCTGGGGATATTGGGCTGTAAGTCTAGAAGGGAAGGTGTCTCAGAAGTCATCTGCCCACCCTACAGATGAGGAAACTTGAGGCCCAGGGGGGTTGAATGAATCACCCAAAGGTTGCACAAGTAGTAAATGTTATGCCCATTGTGCTTGTTGCTGAAGAGTTGCTCTCATTTGCCCCTTGGAGATCTTCCCATAGACCAGGAAATCCCTGCTTCAATCAGAGGCCGTCCTTTTTTCGTTTTTGTGTTTTAGCAACCCTAAATAATGGTATTTCGTATTTTATACAATAGTGTTTTTCAGAGAAGGTATTTTTATAAAGCAAGTTCTTACCAGCAATCTTGTTCACCTATAACAAGCATGTATGTATTCACTAACTTCTTTATGTGGAGCACAGTGACAGGTGTTGAGTGAATTGGATGAAATTCCATTCAGTAAGCAATAAAGTTGCCACTGTTTACAAAGGCAGAAACAAAACAGTTGATGCCCATACACAGTGTTTGAAAAACAATGGAAGTTATGCCAAGCCTAGGCTTGAGACCCTAGCAGTGCATGCTGGTCTGACATTTCACAGGCACAGCTCTGGATTTGAGTGTGTTCAGGGTGTCAGATCTAGGTCAGCACTCACTCATAATACACAAAGTATCTTGTATCCTTAAGTGTGAGATTGGAAATTGCAGCAGGTGTTAAGTGGTTACTTTGTGAAATGGTGAGCGAGAAGAAAAGTTCAGGTGATTGTGTATTCTGCTGTCATATTCCTTGGGCACGTATTTCATATCCAGCTTTGTGCTGGGAGAGAAGGAGGATACTAAGAAATACTCCCTGCCTTCATGGAGGTTGTAATCTACTTGTCAAGGCTGAACATGTGCATGAAACAAACCTAAAAAAAGGCACCAGTAGAGCTTACTGGTGTTCAGAGACAACAAGCTGGGATTTAATGTAATAGGTACAGAGAGCTGAGCCTTAAAGGATGGGTAGAGTTGGGCTGTAATAAAGGAGTATTAAGTTGGTGGCAGGAGGAATGAGGAGAGAATTAGAATGGAAAAAAAAAAAGAGCTCTTAAGATTCTCTAATTTAACCTTCTATCTCCTGTAACAAGGAACGCAGCCAGTCAAGCCCATTCAATCTAATTGTTAACAAATATTGGCAGCATGGTCCAGTGGAAATATTTTGTATTTATTTAATTGAAGCAATTGGATTCAAAACATAGTTGTGCCATTGTGCTACATTTGTAACTTTGGGTACTCGTAATACATGGAGTGTCTCGTATCCTTAAGTGTGAGATTGGAGATTGCAGCAGATGTTAAGTGGTTACTTTTTGAAGTGGCTTCAGTTTCCTCGTGTGTAAAACGAGGTAGGACTAAATCAGTGACTTCTAAGGGCCTTTCTAGCTCTAAATTTCTGATCCTGTAAGTGCCTGCTGTGTGTAAAGCACCATCCTAGCCACCAAAGAAAACTGCAAAGATAGATGAAATCTGGTTGGGGATCCTCTCACAGCTACAAGTCAAAAAGTTCTATGAATTTAGAGAATGGAGAATTGTGATTGCTGAGCTATTTACTTTTGCTGGTCTTTGAAATATAGAATGGGAGCATAGGGAAGATGTTCCAGGATTGGATAGAGACAGGCAAGTGTCCTGGTTTTCAGAAAGAGATTTGCAGTGTCGGTAAGTTTGAGGTTCATCATTGCCCTAGGATTTTAGAATGTGGCATTCTAGGATTTAGACCTAGAGGGGATTTTTTAAAATGTGTTTTCCAGCTCCTTTACTTTACAGATGGAGGAACAGGCCCAGAAAGAAGAAAGGGCTTGTAGAACAGCCCAAAGGAATGATTTATGAGCACACGAAAATGGGAATGTATTCATCAAAAACAGTCAAATATGACTGACAATGTGAGGGAAATCTGAAACAATATATCTGGATTTCATCAAGATGTTTGACAGAAGCGGGATATTCTTGTGGACAAAATGGTGAATTTTTTGGTGGTACATTGAGCTGGTTTCAGAATTGAATGAGTAGGACCTGGAGCTTTTAGAATACTAGAATCTAGTTCTTTGTCATACCTGCTTTTTCACCCTGATGTTTTCAGGATTTGATTTTGGAGTTTAGAAGAACTGGGTTTAAGTCATTTACTAGCTTAAGCAAGTTGTTTAACATCTCTGCCTCAGCTCCTCTGTTTACCTCCTTTAAACTCTTATCCTAAGACCTTGTGGTTTAAGAAAGCCTCTGGTTCTCAATGCCTATGCCAGCATAGTGTGGACTGCACAGGCCATGAGCCTAGTGATGGACTATGCACCTTTATCATTTGAGGACCAGCCTAGTTTATTCGAAGAGGCTTGTCACCAGATTAGAAATATCAAAGATAATTGACCTGCATATTGACAGGATTATCATGAAGATTAAGTAGGAAATGCATTTCAAGCACATTAAAAATGTAAGCTATTGTTTCCTTTTATCTAGTACCTGTGCAATTGTCTTAAGCAAGCATCTAACCAACTCAGAAGGAATTGGTGGCTATTTCTGAGACTTTAAAACAAATTGGTAATTCTTTATGAGCTCAGGAATTTCTCCAAACTGTTGTCAGAGTTGTTAAGTAGCTGTTGTAATGCTGGCACTTTAGTGGATCTCTGGTCTCCTTGGTTCGATCTTCCTTCCAGTGATACAGATCCCAAGCCATCCCTGCCTGCCCATCCTGAGAGACTTATTCCTGTCCTCTACAGAGGATTCCCCCAGTGTGGCAGAGGCCTTTACATTGTGAGGAGGATGCTAGTGGGATGCTAGCTATCTGTCATCCTTTGCTCCATGACCAGTCCACCTTCGTTTTCTGGCATACATTTCCCTGATGAAATCCTTTAGTCCTCTAGTTCCATGTTTCAGCTTCCTCTCATTGACCATGAATTTCTCTGTTGCCCTCTGTGATTCAATTTAAGTTCTTCAGTGACTGGTGTGTTCTATATTCATGAGAAAGACTACCAGTAGAGTATTGTTATTTAAAAAAAGATGGGCTTTTTTTTTCTGGAAGAAGTCTCAGGTCATTAAAGAAGCTTTCTGTTTTCGTGAAGGTCATTGAACCATCTCTCTTTCTGTTTATTCCAAATGCAAGTGGACAGGCTCTCTGTGTTCATCCACTTCCGTGTTAGGCCTGATTGTCAATCCGGTTGTTTCTGGGCAGCAGACATTCTTCATCCATAGTCGAGCCAGACTCGAGTTGTGACAAATCTTCCAGGAGGCTCAGCAGTATTTCAAGACTGAGTGCAGTGTGTAGTGTCCTACACAAGCAGGAGTGTCTGGGGACTTCACCACACGTTGGGGATCCCTCTTGGACTCGGACTCTGCTGGATTGGCCCGCCAGTGGGGAGCGCTGTCGATAAGCTGCGAGTACAATCTGGACAACCAAAAGCAGGACGCGAGAGAGAAAGAAATAATCACACTTCTGTGGCACGTCTCAGTGTGAAAAGTACCTTACAGTTGTCTCACTTGAGCCTTATGATGACCCTGTGCTGTTACCTCAATTTTACAGATGAGAAGGTGAGCTCAGAAATAGGATTTAAATCCAGGTCTTTCAACTTAGGTCTGGTGCTTGAGCCACCAGGATGCCATGCTGCTTTTCAGGTAGCCCTTTGTGGATTTGTGGAACTCTTTCATCTGCCCCATGTGTAGATGAATGCAAACACAAATTCCTTTAGTTTGTCCCTTCCTCAGTTCTCCCTGAACTATTTCATTTACATGACATACAGCATTCTTCACATAATGCCAGTTTGTGTCCTCCTGTCCTTGTAGCCCTCATGGATATCAGTGTCTCTCCTACAAAGGTGGTACTTAGTATTGCCTCTACCACGCTAGCATCAGTTCACTTGACATTTTCAAGGCACTGTACATTTCATTGGCACTTTGGACTAGCCCTGTGAGTGGGGCACTTCCCCCATTTACCCTTGAGGAAATAAACCCAAAGGAGGTAAGTGGCTTGCTTGTTGACACTCCTTAAGTGTAAGAAACAAGATTTGAGCCCAAGTCTTGTTGGCAGTGAGTCCAGCTGTCTGCTCCACAAGGCTGCTTTGGTTGGGGAGTAAAAGCATAGAGGAGATTGGTCAGAACCAGTATGACAGGCCCACTTTACCTGGTAGGCAGTCCTTAAGAAGCCATTGTAGATTCTGGCCCAGGGAATGCAAAGATTACTTTATGGAAACCCAAGGCAGTCATCCCATGATCTTTCCAGCCTATTCCCAGTTACTTCTCTGTGTCAGTAAAACTGCCAGAGACCAAATGATACCATTCTGAGAGCACAGGTGGCTTGTCCTTTTTGCAGGCAGAGGCAACAGCTACCACAGAAAAGGACTAAAGCTAAAGCTGCTGGCCTAGTACTGAACCCTTGAAAGGCCCTGTAGCCAACCAAAGATACACACATCTTGGTGTGTGTGGCAGGAGAGTGGCCCAAAGAGCGTGTCTTTAGACAGGGAGGATGAACAGAACCAGTCACTTGTCAACACAAAAGCATTGGCTCCCAGGCTGGGCACAACATGGCCAGAAATAATAGTGCCAATGGGTCACAACCACCACCACCACTTCCCAAGGGGAGAGTAACCAAGAGAGCACGTAACTACACCACATCTCCAGTTCAAGCTGTTTAATTAGCTATATGCTATTGCAGAAAGTGGTAGACAAATTCTTATTCCATGCTGCTTTATGTTATTTTTGTATGTTCTTTATCAATAATTAGAGCTGTCTGAAAGGGAAGTTGGCTGCCTTCAGAAGTAGTGGGCTCCACTTCACTAGGAGTTTTCAAACAAGTGAATGGCCACTTACCAGATGTGTTATATTAGGGATTCTTTAGTAGACAATTTGAGGGCAAAAGTTCTCATTTTACACATTTACAACCTCTCCCCAAGGGTCAGGTTCTAAGGGGTAGTGGATAGTAGTTGTGAAATGGAAAGAGATGGAGGAGGAGGAAATGTAAGGTCAATGCTATAAATTCACCATTCTAATTAAAAGTTTTCTAAAAATAGGTATGGGCACAAAGTCCAGAAGAAACAGTGCAAATATGGATTACCCCCAAAAAGATTTTTCTTAAAAACCTGAGCTACTCTGAGACATGGAAAGTGATGTTTCTCTCCACTTGTCATCTCTCATTGCTACTTGCTGCTTAAATGTTATTTCTGGTTTTCAAAAGAACACTTTGGCTATAGATTCTGAATTCCTGGACACCCCCCGGCAGCAAAAGTCTCTGCACAATTCCTCTATGAGCACTGTGGCACAGAGAGAGTTACTGCCCTCAAGCTGCTTGAAGTCTATTTTGTAAACCATTAGAGAATGGCCTAAGACAGTGAATAGCCAGAGGGTTCTGACTGCTTTGTGGCAGGTCAAGGAAGGGAGACTAGACTGAAGTAGTTGGGAAAGGCTACACAGAAGAGTTATGAGCATTTATCTGGGCCTTCAAGGATGAACAGGATTTGGATATAGAGAGATTGGGAGGAGGCATCTTGGTTGTAGAAACAGCATAAGGAAAAGCATGGAACTGGGAGCAACTGAAAAGACTAAGCTGGTGAAAGGTTTATGTCCCGAAGCGGTGGAAGTTAGGTTCGATAGCCAAAGCCGGTTATACATGGCTTTGAAAGCTGAGGGGTTTCAGCTGAAGGCAGGAGAGCAAGATGTTGAAAGTTTCTGAACGGAGGAGTGGCATGCTATAGGAAGATTACTAACAGTAGTGTTCAGAATTGGCTGGACAGGGGAGAGACTACAGGTAGCACCATTGCCCGCTACCAGGACACTGCTCATCGTTATTCAGCTGGGGAATCTGAGAGGAGTAAAATAAAAGACTGAGGTTTCCGAGCTAGAGACCAACACACTACCTAGCCCTAACTGGAAGATGGAAGCAGTGACCCCTAGAGGATCCCCAGGATTCCGTGACCCCTGGAGGCCAGGGATCCATTGAAGGTCGTTGGGAGTTGTAACTAACATGGAAGCTTCAGATATTGAGGCACAGAAAGTGGATCAGTTATTAAACATGAAGGTATGATAGACTTCCCACCTTGACCACCCCCCAACTGCCCTCGCCAGTCTTTACCCCAAACCAGTTTCTTAAACCGTTTGAAGTCCCTTCCCCAAATCACTCTCCCTGGACTGACTCCAAGCAAATTTTCTCTCTCACTGAACCCTTTGTCCCCACAGAAGATTGGAGATAAGTATCCAGTATCTGTGATAATCTTGCTGACCCTTAAGTGGTTAGACAGTATCAGCTTCAGTGGAATGTATGGTATGTACCTGCTCACTACCTCTCCCAAGCCAAGCTCTCCTACAACCAATATTCCCTGCACTACTGCCTCAGAACTTCTCTATCCTAACACCTGCATGCACTTAGACTTCATGGCCACTAATAAGCCCGTGGACATTCTGGGTTCATATACACTTATGCCCCATGTACTCTCTGGCCCTATGAACACTTCAGACAAATGGACACTAACCCGGGGGTTCTTAACCTGAGATTCACAATCCGCCACGAGGGTGTGTGAATGTGGATGGATGGGGAAAAAAAGTCTTTATTTTCATTAACTTCTAACTGAATTTTAGGATTTAAAAACATTATTCTAAGAAGGCGTCCTTAGGCTTCACCAGACACCAATGGGGTTCATTGACACATGCACAAAAAAAGAATACTCTGCTGTCACAGGCTCCTGCGACTGTGTTTAATTGCCGGTCGAGTATGAGAGAGAGAGAAAGAAATACACTCGGGCCAGGTGGCAGACAGGTAGAGGACCAGCTCCATTTATTAATCCGAGGGCTAGGGTTTTTATACCTCATTCGTGGGAACAGAATTCAGAGTAGCAAAGGCAAAGCATCAACAATTATTTTTCTCATAGGAACAGTAACCAGGGGGAGTCCCCCCCTGAACAGTTTCCTCACCTGTAATCTTCAAGGTCCTTTTGTTCTCAAGAGAGCCAGAGCAAGGAGGGGTTGCAGAGCCCACATGGCTGACTTAGGCAGCCATTGGCTAAAGGACAGGCCTGGCCTGAACCCTCTGACTTGTCAGTGCTGGCCCTCGACACTCTGCCCTATAAATTTTAGGTCCCATGTATCCGCTGACATTATGTAGACTTGACTGTAGACCTCACCAGTCACTCAACCAATCAGCAAGAATCTGTCAAGCACCCATAATATACCAAATAGTGCTCAGTGATAGAAATGCCCTCTAGGAACCTGAATTTTATAGGGGGGTGTAAAGCATACGCTTATAAGTAAATAATGAGTGCACAAAAATAAATATGTGGTAAATACAAACTCTGTGACCCCATAGACAGTCTAGCCCCGTGGAGACTCTGGGCCCGTGGACACTATAGCCTACGTCCCGTTCTGGGTTCTTGGGGTCTCAAACTTTTCAGATCCATGGACGCTCTACTCCCATTCAAACTCTGGCCCCAGAGAAATCACGGACACTCCAAACCCACGTGCATACAATCCAACCCTATATACATGGACGTTCTGTCCCTGTACACTCTGAAGCCATAAACACTCAGGCCTTGTATATTCTTTAGGCCCATAGATACACTAGAAATTGGTATAGAAACTGGACCTGTGATTTCATCGGAATAAGGACCTCCCAGAGGAGGGGACCAGCTCTACCAATGGAGGCCTGCCTGCAACTTTTCTCAAACTTAGCCTCAGAACTGCCTATCAGGTCCCTAGGGTCACATAGCCAGTATGTGTCAGAGTCAAGACTCGAACCCATGTTCTCCTAGTGGCAGGGCCAGCTCTCTGCCTATCACCTTTGGTGGATTCACCAGCCCTAGAGTAATGTGACTCCATGGATACCAAGGTCATGAATTCTCTGTATGAGATGTTTATCTCATGAACACTGATATCCTATGACCTAGCCTAATCTTTTCTCCAAGTTTTAATAATATGAACTCGACAAACACCAGTTAATACAAACATTTCCATACACAATGAACCCAAAAAGATTGTATATAAAGTTTGTATCTATTAAAATGAATTTTAAAATATATGTCATATACATGTTAAATGTAGTGTGGCAGTACCACCATTGTCTTTCTTGTTTGTATCCCTGTCTGAACTTGTTTTTGCTTTTTTTCTGTGCATTTTAAACATTCAATGATGCAGTTTTTTGCATCTCAATCACGACCTCCCTATTCCCACAACTCTCTTTTTTCCCCTCATAACAAACAAGTATAGTTAAGCAAAAAATTAACACGTTGGTTGTGTCTCATACTGCATCTCCCATTATTCTGCACCTACAGACCATCCCCTTTCTACCAAGAGATGGGAAGCATGCTTTTCTCATCAGTCTTCTGGAATTATAATTGGTCTTTGTATGGATCAGTCCTTAAGTTTTTTAATAGTTGCTGTCCATTTACAACATTGTAGTTGCTGTCTCTGTAAGATATAAAATTGGCCCACAAAAATCATCAAACTTTTTGTACATTCTCAATAAATTCCAGCAGGAAGAGAGAGAATAAGAAATTCCATTCAAGATAACTGAAGAGTATATAAAAATCTGGTAGTTCATCAAACAAGTCATACACAGAAATTATATTAACTACAAAATCTTCACTTTTTCAGAAATAACATCAGATCTAAATAATTACAGAGATAGCAACTGTTGTTCATGGTTGGGTCATGTCATAATAAAAATGATGACAACATTACCTAATTAATTTACAGATTTGGTGCCATACCAATCAAACTACCAAAGGGTTATATTATAGAATTAGGGAAAAAAAATTCATGTGGAAGAAAAGTCAAAGATCTCAAGGGAAGTAATGAATTAAAGTGGCAAGGAAGGAAGCCTAGCAGTACCCTGTCTGAAATTACACTGCAAAGTAGTAATACCTAAAATTATTTGATACTGGTTAAAAAAATCCAAAAGTTGATCAGTGGAACAGATCAGACAATACCCAGCAGCAACTCAGTATAGTAGCATAGTATTTAATAAACCCATAGCCTCCAATTACTGTACTCACAATCCAATCCAACAAAAACTGCTTAGAATTTCAATTAACTTTTTTAAGTTAATGTTTTCTACATAAATCCTCATATTATCTGCAACAGAAAATTATCATTTAGTATCCTTTTTGCCTTTGTGTATCCCCTTAGTTTCTTTTTCTTAATTTATTGCTATACCTAGTATTTCTCTAATTATATCAAATAGTGGTGACCATGGGCATCCTTACTGGAAAGTCCTCCAGCATTTCCCCATTATGGAAAATAGTACCTCTTAGTTGAACATGGATATTATTTATCATATTAAGGAAGAATTCATGTATTCCTATGCTTTTAAATATTTTAACATAAAAGGATATTGTATTTTTTCAAGAACTTTTTTGCATCTATTTATAAAATCACACCCTCAATGCAAATACCTATACCATTTTTCCTCCCTTCCATAATGGGTTGAGCTTTCCCCGCCTTGTTTCTTTGAACTAATTGTGGGTGTTTATGCCTCAGCCTTAGGCATCGAGGTGGCTGTGTGGATAGAACACTGGGCCTGAAGTCAGGAAGCAACCGCAGACACTTACTAACTGTGTGACCCCGGGCAAGTCACTTGACCCTTATATACCTCAGTTCCTCATCTGTAAAATGCACCGGAGAAGGAAATGGCAAACCGATCTAGTATCTTTGCCAAGAAAACCCCATTGGGATCACAGAGAGTTAGATATGACTGAAACAACTGGATGACAACATGCCTCAACCTTATGCACTTTTATAGCCAATTACCATCTCTTAATAAATTGAGACCCCTACTTATTTTTTTTCTTTTAGTCAGCAATGCCACAGACCATACCTATTTCTCCTTTAAGCTTGCACCAACCTGTTCCACTAATTTGCCCCACCCACCAATCCACTTTAGCCATTTGATTAACCCTTCAATTACTCTATTTACCTTTTCTTACAATTTGACTTGCCAGATATTGTTGTATTTCCCAGTTACTTACATATTGTCTCCCCATCAGAATGTAAGCCTCTTGAGGACAGAGATTGTGTTTTGCCTTTCTTTGTATCCCCAATGTTGGGGATGTAGCGTTGGGCACATAGTAAGCACTTAATAAATGCTTGTTGGTTTGACTTGGCCTACACAATTTCCTTCTCTGGATTCAGCTGAAGTCCTTTTCTCTTCTCCCACCGCTGGTCCCCTTCAGCCCTTTTTCCTCCTAGGACTGAGGAAAGGTGAGGAAGGTGATCTGGGCAAAGCCTCTGAATCCTGGGGGGTTCTTAACCTAGATCCAAGCCACAGCCAGGTGGCAGCCTATTTTGAACCACGCCCCCCACTACACACACACACACACACACACACACACACACACACACACACACACACACACACACACGAGACAGAGAGTTTCATCAGGGTCCCTCAGTGGGCCCTACAAGAAAGTCTGTGAGTTAGCTTGTATTCCTTATGGGGAAGCATTGACATTGGTAGGAGAGGAGTGCTAACACAAATTTATTAATTATCTAAAATCCAAGCATCTCTGCTTAGAGAGAAGTTTCAAGGGACAGAGAAGCATCCTGCTTCAAAAACTTCCCTGCCAGAAACATTCCTACTTATAATTTTACAATTTTATAGTAGTCATGAGACAGGCAAGGTGAGATAAAAGAATTACAAAATTCAGTTTTAGGGTTTTCACCCAACAGCTACATGGGAATTTAATGGTGTAAGGTACACCATGGAAAGGAAGCCGCCTTCCTGAAAAGCCAAGATGGGCTCCAGGTTCAACAAAAACTAAGGAGCACCTTCCTTGATTATCAAAGGGACATTTCCTCTCCCTAATCTTAGTTTCAGAAAATCCCAGGCTCCCCCTGAAGTTGATTGGGTTTTTAATTGGAAGACTGGTTAGATCATTCGTTCAAGTGAGACCAAGGACTTTGGACGAATACAGTGAAATGATATTCTCTTTATATATCTAGAAAAGGGGTCAAAGAATCCTTTGTCTACTTCCACACCCATTCTTACCCCCCACACAGTGACTCTGTGGGTCATTTGGCCTCACATACAGACTAACTCCAGGGACAAAGACCCTATACTCACAGCTGTTTCCAAGAACTTTCTGACTTCTTTGCATCAGTCCTTTAGACTTGTTTCTCCTTAGCATTCTCTCCTGCCTCCACTCATATCCCTCACTGGGATGGTGAAACTGCCTCAGCCTTCTCAAGATCTCTCTCTTTCTCCCCAGGTTTGCTCGTTTTATATTTTATTTCTCAGTTCCTTTACTTCTCTGACCATGAAAATTACCTGCAACACATGTTCAGAGGCTCTGTGGTCATCCTGGCCTTTATTGGTGCCACCATCACAGACTCCTGGCTTGGAAATTTCAAGTAAGGAAAATATTTTCTTCTCTTCCCACCATAGGGGAGGGCCTCTTAGGAAGGGATCAAGAATTAGACTACCGAGGAAGACTTTTCTTAGGATTTTAAAGCAGTGTCCACATGGATTTTAACATTCAGTCTCTGTGTTCCCTGCCTCGAATTGTCATGAGGATCAAACAGTAGCTAATGTGTGTGTGTGTGTGTGTGTGTGTGTGTGTGTGTTGTGTGTATGAGGCAAGGATATCAAAAAGGGACAGAGGAGCAGCCAGGTGGCTCTGAAGTCAAGAAGACCTGAGTTCAAACCCGGCCTCAGACACATAATGCTTACTAGCTGTGTGACTCTGGGCAGGTCACTTAACCCCAATTGCCTCATTTAAAAAAACAAAAACAAAAAGGACAGAGAGCAGGACAGAAGCTAGGGGAGGGCCGCTAGAGCCGTAAAGAAGGATGGTAAGGGAGGAGGATAGGTCTCCCAGGAAGATACGGGGCTTCTGTTAGACCAGAGAGCCAAGACCAAGATACTATAGATCATAAACTTATAGTTAGAAGGGTCCTTCGAGGTCACTGAGTCTAACCCTCCCATTTCACAGATGAGGGGAATGAGACCCAAGACCTCTCATCATTAGTAAATAGCAGTTATGACAAGCCAAGTGCTGGGTGTGTAGGACAACAGTGACCTCATGCGGTTTGTGAAGGAACAGCTCCATCTGTCACTGAGTAAGGGGGTGACCTGGTCACTTCAGGAAGCTTTGACAGCTGAAGGGGGGGTGACGTGGAGTCAGGGAAAGAGTTATTATGGCAGAGGGACCAAGCAGGAGGTTATTACAATGGCCTGGGTGTGAGGGAATGAGCCTGTGTGCCAGGGTGTAAACTGAAATCTCATCATCCCAATCTGACACCCCAGTCACCCTCAGCCTATGATCTCATCTTCTCCTTTACTGATACTCTGCGCCACGTTTAGCTGTCAGTCACACCCTAGCTTGGCCCTAGGAGGGCCTCACCTGCTCCCTTCACGGAGGCATGACTTTCCTAACATGTCTCCTGACCTCTACTCTCGCATCACCAACTGCCTCTTGGATATCTCAAACTGTAAGCCTTTGAGCATTGCTAATTCAGCACGTCAAAACAGAACTCCTTATTCCTCTCTCCAAATTCTCTCTGCTTCCAAACTTTCCTATACTGCTGAGGGCGCCACCATCCTCCCAGCCACCCGGCCCCTTAACCTTTGTGTCGTCCTGGACTCTTCTCCTTCATTCAGCCCACATCCGGTCTATCACCGAGTCTGATTCTGCCCTCTCAACCACTCCTGTCGCATACAAGACTCCTTAACTCTACTTGCACGACTTACACCCTGGTACATAGACTCACACACTCGGGCTATTGTAATAATCTGCTTAGTCGGGGAAGCTAGGTGGCACAGTGGATAGAGCTCTGGCCTTGGAGTCAGGAGGACATGAGTTCAAATCCAGTTTCAGACACATGACACTCACTAGTTGTGTGACCCTGGGCAATTCACTTAATCCCAATTGCCTCACCAAAAAAAAAATATCTGCTTAGTCTCCCTGCCTTAATAACTCCCCCCCCCAACTCCAATCCATCTTCCCTTCAGCTGCCTAAAGTCTTCCTAAAGTGACCATGTTACCCCCTTACTCAATAAATGCCCATTTACATCCAGGTTCAAATATTAAGCTCTCTTTTTTAAAAGTCCTTTACAGCCTAGCCCTTTTCTCCCTTTCCAGTGTTCTTACACTCTACTCCCCTCCACATACCTTGTGATCCAGCAACATCTGCTTTTCTCTCTCTCTTTCCTCCCCTCTGTTCATCATCCCCACAGCTGAGATGTCTCCTGCTTTTTCTCTCTTTCTAAGGGAAGAGAGGGGCTGAGCTTCCAGTCTCAGTCCCAGGACTACTCCCACAGATAAACCATTGGTGAGCTCCCATTACAGAAACACAGGCTGCATGGCCACTTGTTAGAAAGGATTCTTGGTCAGGTGGGTGTTGGCTTGGATGGCCTCAATGTGGAGACTGTTATTCTATAATCCACCGCTCTGTTGCTAACAGAAAAGAATGTAATCATAAAAGAATTGGGCCTAGCTCCCTTGTAGCCAAACTGCCTTTACAGGAGTAGCAGAAATCAGAGTTTGACAATGAAATATTTTATCAAATAATGAGACTTTTGGATAATAATTATAATAACAATAACAACTAAAACCACAAGGTACATGTTACCCCTGCTGTCCTATCTGTTACTGGAGTTGACTTAATGATTCTTTGAGTGATCCTGCAGAAGATGAGTTTACACATGCCAATATTCTTATTCAATTAGGAAAAGCAATTAGGAAAATCACATAGATTAAATATAAAAGAATATATAAGATTAAATATAAAAGGATAATAGCAGAATAGCTTCTTGTCCTCAGACTGTTTCTATTGAGTCTACTAAAAAAAAAAAGAGAGAGAGAGAACCAGGAGGTAACGGTAATCATTCACTGATAATATTGATAACTTATACCCTTAGTGGAAGAGGTTTGTTTTGCTCAGCTATTTCTCCTTTTCCTGTTTTCTCTTTCTCCCTCTCCCTCCTTTGCTCTTTGTTTTGGTTTTTTTGTTTGTTTTTGGTGAGGCAATTGGGGTTAAGTGACTTGCCCAGGGTCACACTGCTAGTGAGTGTTACGTGTCTGAGGCCGGATTTGGACTCAGGACCTCCTGACTCCAGGGCTGGTGCTCTATCCGCTGCACCACCTAGCTGCCCCATCCTTCCTTTGCTCTCTGTGTGATCACTATTTGGACTCAGGACCTCCTGACTCCAGGGCTGGTACTCTATCCGCCGCACCACCTAGCTGCCCCATCCTTCCTTTGCTCTCTGTGTGAGCACTCTTGGCCTCAGCTCAGTGCTCTCTCTTCCGCTTCTGGTCAGAGTTCCTCGAGATCTTGAGGACTATCTTTTCCTCTAGTGCCTTCATCGGATGTAACCTATTCTTATTGCTTGGCCACGTCTTTGCCATGACCGAAGAAATCCTGCCGGAAAACATCGCGAGGTCTAGGTGAGTCATCCCAAACACCCAGGCGAGCTGATGCAAGGCTTTGCTCTTCAGTCGCGAGGAGAACAGAGCGAGTGGGGAGAGAGGATCTCAGCCTTTGTCTCTGTTTCCCTCTGCGGGGGTGAGGGACTCTTCCATGTCCGCTGGGTCTGTGGGGTGAAGCGTTTGTCCGCAGCAGGAATGCTCTGTGTCCCTCCGTCACAGACGTGCTCATGAGGGAGCTCGCACCAAGTGCCTCCGTCCCCTTCTTCCCTCCAGGTTCTTGGTCACCTCGGGTTTACTGTCTGTGGCTTTTGCCGCTGGTATCAAGATGCCCTGTACGCTGTGTCTCGCTGGCGACCAGTTTCCAGTGCACCAGGTACGTGTGCAGGCTAGCGGGTTGTCTCCTGTTTATCCCTCCGCCCCGTCCTCCTCCAGCAGCTACAGGATCAGAGTATCAGAGAATTCGAGATGACAGGGACCTCAGAGGTCATCTGCATGTTACAGAAAAGGCAACTGAGGCCCATAATGCTGAAATAATTTGCCTAAGTCAGACAGCTAGTAGGTGACAGAGCCAGCATCTGAACACAGGTCCTTTGACTCCACATTCACTGCTTATTCTTTAGCTCTGTAAGAGGCTGTCATTTGCTCCTAGGAAATACAGATAAAATTCAATCTGAGGGTTTCTTTAGAGGGGGAAAGAAAGGCAGAGTTAAGTGACTTGCCCAGGGTCAAACAGCTAGTAAGTGCCTAAGGCCAGATTTGAACTCAGTTCCTCCTGACTTCAGGGCTGGTGCTCTATCCATTGTGCCACCTAGCTGCCCCTAACCTGAGGGCTTTTTAAAAAAGTATTTTTTTTGAAAGCTCTATTTGTCACCTGTCAAAAGCAGGCCATGTTTAAGGCTCTGTGGCTTGATATGGGGTCTATGTTTATTATGCTGTCCTGAATTTGCTCTTTTAATAACTAGAAACCCATAGTTGATTCTGTAGACAACGTTTTATCTTTGACTAGTACTCCCCTGACCCCCACCCATGTCTAGGTAGCTTCCCCTCACAGAATGAGGTATACTCAGAGAATGCCAACTTAGTAAATAGTCTAACTGTAATTTACGTTGCCCTTGTCTGTTTGGGTCATGTGCCCCTTCTCGACTGTGACTGTGATATAGACTGTGGCAGGGTCTATATCTTATCTAAATTCTATATCTCCCCCAACCACCCAGCACAGGACTCTGCACATGGTAGGTGATCTGTAAATGTTGGGTTGAATTGAACTAAATCCAGATAAATTAGCTTGAGTCGAACAGAACCACAGAGGAGTTTTAGAAAATACACACACATACGTGTACTCATACAAAGGAATTTCAAAGGAAGGAAAGCAGCTGAATGATGGTGGCAGAGCAAATAGGAGATGATGAGAAGCAAAGGGTATGCTATGAAATTAATGGTACAGGCACCAATGCAACATGAGATGTGAGGAGGAAAAGATTAGGACAATGTCACTGGACCTGGAATTCTAATTTTCAAAGACATATTCATCATAGAATTTACTGACTTTGACTTGGACCATACAAAGAGACATGTACTGTCCTCTCTGTCCTTACATGAAGAGTTACCCCAGCTCTAAGGTTCTATGATTGTCTCTGTCAGATGCAGGACAGATGAATATAGGCAAGTGGGGTTAGGGAAGGCTTCCTTGTGGAGATATGAGCTAAACAAATTCTACCCAATAGAACAGAAAAAGCTTGGGAAAGTAAGCTTAGGACAACTCAGAATCACAGAATCTTCGAGTTAGAATGGAACTCAGAAGTCATCTAGTCAAACCCAAAAGTAAACAGTAATTTATTCTACAATTAGTGGTCATTGAATTGGTGTTCTGGGGGAATCCATAGTTACAACTGGAGAGGGAAATTAATAACCTCTCCTGTACATATTTCCCTATCATTCAGCAGTGATCTTTTCTAAATAAATGATTTTCTGCCCAGTGTTCAAATGCTGAGTATGTACAGGGCCAGTGATCCCTACAGACTTAGAGAAGATATGACTCCTTGCCTATACCTAATACCACATACATGGGGGGAGAAACAATCTTTGCATCAACTATTTCTGAAAAAGTTTGATATCTAAGTATGTAGGAAATGGACACAAGTCAAGAAAGCCATGGGTTCATTCCCTAGTAGGTAAGTGGTCAAAGGAAATGAACATTTTGCCAAAGAGGAATCACAATCAACCAACCATGTGAAAAATTGCTTCAAATCACTAATACCAAAATGATAACAGTTTGGAGATTTCATCATATGCCCTTCACATTGGCAATGATGTTAAAAGAGGAATGGTTAGCAGAGCTGTGAGAAGACAGACATACTAATACCCTGGTTGAGCTGTGAATTTTTCATAACATTCTGGAAACTGAGATACAAACTACTAAAGATTTAGTGTTCTCTAGTGTCATTGAACATGATTTATTTTATTGATTTCAGGTAAAAGAAAAGAACAAGGCATTCTCCTTCTTATACATGTCTACAGTCTTTGGGAACTTCTTTGCTGACATCTCCCTCCCCTCATTTATGGGTCAGTGGTTATTTTGGGGATTGTAGAGGTTGGGCAGAGGCCATAGTGCACCACAGTTCTTCCATTTTTTTTCCCAAATAACATCCAAGGAAGGAATGGAAAATAGTGAATTTTTAAGTAATAAGAATTTATGTCTGCAAAGCTTCTGATTACAACTCACAAAGGGTGAAGGGAAGCAGGAATTGTCTACATTTTATAGACACAGAAAGTGAAGCACAGATAGTAGATGGCAAATGAACCACATAGTATTATGTAGGTATTTTTTCCCACTTGACATGTCTAGAATAAATGATTCTCCATCTTCCTTAGTCACCTGGTCCTTGAGTGTGCAAGAATGTGATGTCCACGCAGGCCATTGGCCTTCTTTTCTGTCTTGGGTCAGCTCCATTAGCACCTTCTCTTTCTTTAAAGACTATGGGGTCACAGTTATAGAATTGGGAGGGCCCTTAGAAATCATCTAATGCTTACAAATTAGGAAACTGAGGCACAGAAAAGCACAAAAAGAAGCTAAAGCTTTAGAGCTATAACCAGGAATTGTGGTGCTCAGAGAAAATTCATTTGAGGGTGAGGTGAGCTCACCTGAGGAATAGGAAGTCTCAGGATGCCACCTCAAGTCAGTTTGCAGCAACATCAATTTTACTTGAGATATGCCCCCTCAGAAGGGTGTGGGTAAACAACTCCTGAAATGGTGCAACAAAGAACCTCTGACCCAGCTGCATGTACGTGGAAGAGAGGGGATCCTGATCCCCAAACAGCATTTCCATGGAATGGCTAACAACAGCCCCTGACCCTCAGTACTCACAGCTCCCAGAAAGAAGGAGGAACAAGGGTAGGGGAGAAGCAGTAAGGGGATGTAGGATATAGTAGTGAGGAAAGCCGAGTCTCAGACAAGGGGTGTGGTGAGGTTGGCAGGATTCTAGGCAGGGTGAGGAAATCAAGTGACTCAACGGGGCGGTCAGACTCCAGCATGAGGCTGCAAGGGCATACACACAGCTCTTGGGTGTGCTTCGATTTCAGGCAAAGCCCCGGTTACCTGGCTACCACTCCCTGGGGTTTCCAAGCAAAAGCCTCTTTCTTTCATTCCTGCAGAATGAAAACACATTTTTATTATTTCCTACTTCCCTGTGCCTGAAACAAGCACCCAATCCACCCTTCAAAGTTTTCCAAGGATTCTTCTAGAATGTTTTCTTAACAATGGGGAAATTGGCAGAAAGCATTTTTTTTAAATGGGGAAGGGTATAGAATTTCAAGAAATCTCACAAAATGTACTATTCTTGGTACTCTGTGAGATGTTAGTATGATTAAAATCCCATCTTTCTTAGCTCTTCTCACCTTGGTTACTCTGTCTTCACTTATGTTGATGTGATCTAAAGACCAATTCCTTTGTACCTATTGTAGTCCCAGAGAAGTGCTTCCCTCCTCCTCTTTTGCCTCTAGACCACGTAGGAAAAAGAGAAGGACCTCAAAAGTTAAGAGTCTTCTGCTTTTCAGAGAGCCCTGGCTCGGTGCCTATTTCTCAGATGTTTTCTTTCTTCACAAAGGATGGCAGTCCCTCACCTCCTGCACTCAATTGTCCTTACTTCCATACACAGAAGGTATGAACAGGACAGGGCAGTGGAGACCAGCTGTCTTCCTTAGCTATCCCCTCCTGCCACGAGACACCTTGAGCACTCAGGTGGAGGGAGAGGGAATGAAGTACTCCCTCCCGGGAAAAAGGAGCAAAGGCAGATGACCCTGTGAATAATGAGGTAACAAAGGGGAGGCTGGGGACTCTGGGTAACTTTCCATCTCTTCCATTCTACAGAAAAAAGTTGCTTCTACAAAGACTGCTATTTGATATACTTGAGCGCCTCAGCTGGCATTGTGACTTTTAACTTAGGTAGGCTGTGCTGGCTTGGGTGGGAGGGTAGGGAACAGAGAGGGTGGACTGCTCTGGCAGCAGCCATGGCCAGGGGTGCCTAGGGGCCCGTGGACCAAAGCCAGGCATGGGCCATACCATTGCAAACCTCTAGGGCAGTCTACACCTGACTGACAATGCCTACTTCTAGGTGGTTAAGGCTCTCCCTCCATTTGGCCACAGTCAGATAACATGATACCGTCTGAGAATAATAATACTAATAATAATGATAGCTGCCATGTATATAGCACCTATTAAGTACTTTACAAATATCATTATCTCATTTTATCCTCACTATGACACTTAAAACAGTTTACAGATGAGGAAACTGAGGCAGACAGAAATGAAATAACTTGCCCAGGGTCACAGAGCTAGTTAAATATCTGAGGCTGGATTTGAACTTGGGTCTTACTGACTCCAAGACCACCATTCCATCCATTGTACCACCTAGCTGCCTTGAAGTACTCCTTAAACTCACCAAACCTGGTCATGTGGAGGCATTCAATTACTCAGGGAAGCTCCTCAAAGTGCCTTCATTCTTCCTTCCAGTAATCACCTTCTCTGCTCCTTCAAGGGACACTCTCTTGCCAAGAAAACCTACTGTTTGCCTCTGAACAGGTTCCTAGCTCAGCAGAGAGCTTAGGACCTGCAAGCCCTTGAAACCAGTGGAACATCACTCCTCAGCCCAGGTCCCCTTCTCAGGGATCTGCCCAGGATCTATGACCTAGAACTGGTTAGTGAACAACAAGCCAGCATCCTCTGGGATGGATGTGGAACTCCTTCTTGCCCTGTCTCTCCCTACAACGTAATGCCCTTAGCCAGACCCCACCCACACACCTCTCCATCTAATCTCCTGATGCTGACCTGGGCTGGAAAAAAAATGACATAATGTGACTTTTTTTCTTGGATTTCCCAATCAGGATTTGGTTTGGTGTATTTTTCAGATCTTTGTGGAAGAGGTATCAGTGAGAACTCGGCTGTTCTTGCTACTACTAAACCATCACCTTGGTTCTATTCCAACTCCAGCAGAGTATCTTCAATAACAATATGAAAAATGTGAATGGAGAATGTTATGTTAATTTCCCTAGATATGAATAGAAAATGTCCTTTCATATTAATGATATATTTGTATCCCAGCATCACTTTGATAGAAACAAGAAAGACCAATTTCATTTTACCCAGTATTAGATTCAGTGATTACCAGTTACGTGAACAGGGAACTTATAAAATTTGTGACTTCTGACTGCGGTGGGAATATCACTAGGCTTTAACATTGGTATGAGAAATCACTACCAACAAATTTAAAGGGACCTTGAATGAGTTGTAAGCTTATGTAAGATTGTTTCGGGGTTTATAATGTATCTGTTTCATCAAATCAACAAGCATTTGTTAAGGGCTTCTAATTATGATATGCCAGGTATTGTAGAGATATAACAAATGGCAAAAAAAAAAAAATAGTCCCTGCTGTCAAGGGGCATGAGATCCAGGGGGAAAGACAACATACTATTTGCAGACAAGATGTATGTAGGATAAATTGGAAGTAATTAACAAAGGGAAGGCACCAGAATTAAGAAGGATTAGGAAAAGCTTGCTGTAGGAGGTGGTATTTTTAGCTGGGACTTAAAAAGAAGCCGGGGAAGTCAGAAGGCAGAGATGAGGGAGAGAATTTCAGGCACAGGACAGCCAGTGAAAATTTCTGGGTTCAAGAGATGGAGAGTCTTGCTCAAGAAATAGCAAAGAGGCCAGTATCACTGGATTGCAGAGAAGACGGAAGGGGGTAATGGTGTAGGAAGAAAGGTAGAAAGAGGCTATGTTATGAAGAGATTTAAATGCCCAACAGGAGAGTTCATATTTTATCCTTGAGGTGATAGGGAGCCACTACAGTTTACTGAATAGGGAGGTGACGTGGTCAGACCTGCATTTTAGGAAGATCAAAATGGCGGCAGAGACTTAAGGAAGCAGGAGACTCTAATAGTTCAGGTATGAGGTGATGAGGGCTTGCACCAGGATGGTGGCAGCATTAGAGGACAGAAGAGGGGATATATGAGAGATGTTGGAAAGGTGAAAATGACAGGACTGGGCAACATATTGAATATGGGGGAAAGAGAGTGAGGAGTTGAGAATGACCCTTAGATTATGAGCCTCAGTTAACTGGGAGGAGGGTGGTGCCCTTAACAGTAATTTTTTAAAAAGTCGGGAAGTCGAAGGGCATGAGGGAAAAGATAATGAGTTTTGTTTTATACATGTTGAGTTTTAGATGTCTACAGAATATCTGTTTGAAATGTCTAATAAGTGGTTGGAAATGAGAAACTTGGGTCAGCAGAGAAGTTAGGACTGGATAAGTAGATATGAAAATCTTTAACATAAAATGACAATTGAATTCTTTAGAACTGATGAGATCACCAAGGGAAATAGTATTGTTGTTTTTTGTCCTTTGTTCTTGAAGAGGACCATGACATGAGGCGGGTGACTTGCAAGTGAATTGGATTTAAGTGAAGGAGGGCTGTGCAAGGTCACCAGCCTCACTTTCTTCTCCAGAGCCATGTGGGTCCAGTGGCCAGATATAGATCAGGATAACTAGAGATGCTGAAATAGTATAGAGGGAGAAGAGAAGAGGACCCAAGAAAGAGACCTGAAGGACATGCATGATTAGCAGACACAGCCTGGATGAAGATCCAGCAAAGGAGACTGAGAAGGAGTGCTCAGGTAGGAGGAGAACCAGGTGAGAGCAGTATCACAAAAACCTAGAGGGAAAAGAGTATCAAGGAAAAGAGGGTGATCAGCTGTGTCAAAGGAGGCAGAGACTACAAGAAAGATAAGGATTGAGAAAAGGACTTTAGAATTGGCAATTAAAAGATCACTGATTTCTCTGGAGACAGTTTCAGGTTGAATTATGAGGTTGGAAGCCAAACTTCAGGAAGTTAAAAAAAAAAGAGTGATAGAATAGGAAGTGGAAGCATTAGTTGGAGACAGTCTTTTCGAGGAGTTTATATAGGACAATAGCTACTGCAGGGATTAAAGGAGAATTTTTTGAGGATCAGGAAGAAATAGGTATGTTTGTAAGCATTAACTAAAAGTTAGGCTATGAGTGCCATCAGACCTTGGTTTTACTCTTAGAGGAATCAGATTGGTTTTCCATGTACTAGGCCTTTCACAATTTCACTTAATGCTTTGCAGTCTTAGTTGTTCATATGAAAGAGCTTTTTTCTAGAAATTATTACAAGTTTAAAAAAAAAAAGCTAAGAACAGTAGTGGCCCCATCACACCTTGACTCATTCATGGTTTTGTATGTTGAAGAATTTGCCTCATCTATTAATTAATTAATTAATAGATCATGGACTGGAGGATTTGATTGAAGAATTTAATCCCTAACACCTGGTAAGCAATGTCTAATTATCTGGGACTGGAAGATGAAGAAACTTTAATCTGTTTTGTTCTATAGTCATTAGCTTCTTATCTGGTTAAGAATAAAGATCATGAAAATGGACTTATTTTTGTTTATTCCTGCTTATCACTACAGAGTACATTTGATATTTTTTATTTCATGTTTAAGTTTATATTTTAAAGAAAGTTCAGTTGCTAATTGTAATTTTTTTCAAAATTCAGTATCTTTAGTGTGATGAATGAAAATGTTCATGACAGAGTATTATATAAATGTTTACCTTTTAAAAAATTCAAGGGGCAGCTAGATGGCACGTCAAGAGGACCTGAGTTCAAATCCGACCTCAGACACATAACACTCACTAGCTGTGTGACTCTGGGCAAGTCACTTAACCCCAATTGCCTCACCAAAAAAAAAAAATTCAAAATAAAATTTCCTGAAATGTGTTCCACATGTGTATGCAGATCAACTTAGGTTAGGGACAGAAGGATTAGGCTATTTCAAGCATTGAGATGCTCCCCAGGGATGGCGGTGAGTGAGCTATAGAAGGTCTTCAGGCAGGGCAGGAGCATGACGAAAGCATCGTTTTAGAAAGATTGATCCAGTAACCATGTGTAGAATGGCCTTGATGTCCCTAACAAAAGGCTGTTTATGTAAATTTGTGTTTCTATATGACATTTCTTCCAAGAAAATACCAAAGCCTTGTGACTGATTTTTCCCTTTTGGAAGGAGATAAGTTTCTCCTAACAATCTGGTGTTAGTGTACTTAGAGAAAATGGTTAGCTGTTTCTAGAAATCTAAATTTAAAATACTTTTCCTGTCAGCATTCTGAGGATTTATTGTTCAATTCAGCATTGTTAAACAATCTGTACTCAGTGAGGGGAACATAAGAAACTGGAAAGACATGGTTTCTGTCTTAGAAAAGCTTCCAGTCTAATAGAGGAGACAAAGAAAACTCATGTGACCAGTTATATGTAGTACAAGGTGGAAGTTTATAATAAAGTACTGAATGAGTGGACAAGATGGCAGTACTAGATAGAGGAAGGCGTTCGGAGAGGGAGAAGGGCCTGGACCCCGCTTCCTTTACAAACTACCTCCAAGATTCTACCAGAGCAGGCTCTCTTCAGCACAAGTGTTTGGTTTCGTTATTTGGTTGGTTGGGTTTTTTAATGCAAAGACTTAAGCCTGTTGAGCAGTGTGGTCACAACGTATCCTCGCGGGCATGTGAGGCTCAAATCTTGGAATGCTCTGTGTTGTTTTCAGTGACATTTATATTTTCCAAGAAATTATTCTTCATAGAAGTCCCCCAAGAGAGCAACCTACTGAAAATCTTCAAGTGTATCTGGGTGAGTGGAGTTTATTTGTGCCTACATCTAACCACATGAATGGACATGAGCCCCTGGATTCCCAAAGCCTGACATCCCTAGATGGGTCCTGAATCTGGGTTAGAGTTAGGTTCTTCAAGCCCTGGGAATCAGTCTCTCTCTCTCTCTCTCTCTCTCTCTCTCTCTCTCTCTCTCTCTCTCTCTCTCTCTCTCTCCCCCCTCTAGAGTGGGGTGAAATGGAGTGAGGCAAAAGAGGCATACTAGGCATTCAGTGTGGCAGGAAAAATCTAACCAACAGAAAGTCTGCAAGAGCTCCCCTTATGTGGAGGAAGAGGGTTGGGTTTGGGTGTGCATGAAATGGATTTTCCTGTTCTTCTGTCTTGACTTTTCTAATGCAATCCTATAGTCTGCAATTAAAAATCAGCTCCGTCACTGTTCTTGGAAGACCCCAAGGAGGAATCATTGGCTGGATTGGGCATCAGAGAAGTTCTCGGTAAGTAGAGAGTTGACCCAGCAAGAGAAGAACGATGGAGACAGGGATAGAAAGTACAACCCCATTGTGTGTCTGTGGGTTCTGGATAAGGACATTCCACTTTTGGGGGGCACTTATCTATCGTTCCATTCACCTGTCTTCTGCCCTCCTTTTTACTTTGTTCATTCCATTCTGTCCATTCCCTAACCTTTGTCTCCATTCTCTTGTCCTTTTCCTCATTCACCTACCTTTTCTCCCCACCTCCTTCCATCCCTAAGCCTATCCATCTCTCTAAACCTGGACCTATTCCCAATCTCCTTCAACAAACCCCATCCCCTTACCTGTCCCTATCTCCATTTCCAGCCTTATCTATTATGTACTCATCCCTCTATTTCTTACCTACCTGTCCATCTTCCTATCCTACACTTGTCTCTCCCTAGTCATCCATCCGTCTTCCTATCCCCCATCCATGTTCATCCCTTATATATTGTTCCATTCACCTTTCCTTCCATAACAATAATGATGATGATGGTAACTTCTGCCTAACCCCACCAATCTAGCGGTCTTTCCCTTTCATCTATTTATCTATCCTTCTATTAATATGTCTACCCTTTTCCCCCTCAACGGCCAAATGCCTATTCCCCTGTCCTCTGTTCCCTCCAGGAGAATCATATTAGTGAAGTGAAGCTTTTCTTTGGCATGCTGCTCTTCCTCTCACCCTTTCCACTTTTCTGGGCCTTGGTTGAAAAACAGGTAGGAGATTCTACAGGTGAAGTTGTGTTTGAGGGGCTGATGGGAATGACGTTAAAAAGTAGATGGCAAGGGGCAGCTAGGTAGCATAGTGGATAAAGCACCGGCCCTGGATTCATGAGGACCTGAGTTCAAATCCGGCCTCAGACACATAACACTTGCTAGCTGTGTGACCCTGGGCAAGTCACTTAACCCCATTGCCTAGCAAAAAAAAAAAAGTAGATGGCAGCCAGTGTAGGAAGGTAGGAGACCAGTAGTTGGCAAGGGAGAACTAAGAGTAGTGTTGGGGGAAGAAGTAGGGTGGGTTTCATGTATTTATTGAGCCCCTATCATGTGTGCAGCATTGCATGCACAGTGGTGCAAGAGAGACAAAGGAGAAATGGTCTCTGGCCTTAGGGAGCTCATGGTCTAGTCAAAAGATAAATACATATTACTTTCTCCATTAAGCTTATGTTCTAGTTGGGATGTAAGCTACATCCCTGCCTTCAAGGAGTAATGTAGTAGAGAAATAAGAAGCAAATATGAATAACTGCATAAAGGTGAAGGTAAAAGTACATTTAAAAGAAGTATATAGTTCTATGTTAGTTCAGAGTAGAGAGAGAGAACTTGGAGATGGGGATATCAGGGAAGACTTCATAAAGCTGACATTTGAACCACGACTTGAAATATAGGTAGGCATTTGATAAGCAGATTTGGAGACTTGGAGACGTCACACTAGAGGAAAGGAAGAGCGTGAACAAAAGCAGAGAGGAAGGAAGCTTGGTGAAGATAAATCAGTTGAGCTTGGCTGGATATTAGGATAGATGAGAGGTAATGGGAAGATAAAGACTGGAAGGTTAGGTGGGGGACCAAGGGGACTTGAATGCCGGGTAAAGAAGTTTAGATTTGATTTACTAACAGGGAGCCATCAAAACTTTTTGAGTAAGGGGGCAGGTGGTGTGATAAGACCAGAGCTATGGTTAACAAGATTAATCTGGCAATATGTGAAGGATGCATTGGAATGGAGAGAGACTGAAAGTGGGGAAAGTAATTAGGAGACTTTTTCAATAGCCCAGGTGAGAGTCAAAGCCCTGAACCAAGATGGTAGAAATGGAAGCACAAAAGAGGGAATGGATTTAGGCAACATTACAAAGCAACAAAGGGCAGGACATAGCAACTAATGACTTTTGGACTGAAATGGACAGCAAAAATGGCTAAAGGGAAGTTGATATTCAATATAAATAAGATGATGGTAAGAGAACATTTAGCTACCTTTGATAGTTCAAGTCACCAAGCCCAGAAGATAAGTAGGGTACTGAAAGAATTGGCAAATGAGCTACTGAATAGGAAAAGTCCCACAGGACTGGAGAAGGGAAAAATTGGGAAGATAGAAGGAAACATGTAGAAATTTTCAAATGATCATTCAGTAAGTCTTGAATAAGTGGCTACTAAGTGCTAGGCACCCTAGGAAGCACAGGGGATACAACGAGAAAAATGAAACCAGCCTTGCCTTCAGGGAGCTTGCATTCTATCAAGGTCATTCCACAGGAGACTGAGCTTGACTAAGACCCTGCCACTTTAGAATGTATTTTGAAAGAGACAGCATACATCTCCGGAAGGAAGTAGTGATCATAAAGACATGACATGGAAAATTTCATTCAGAACTAGCCATACCAGAGAAGCTTTATTTCTTTTCTCGACAGGCAGGGTAACTAGACTGGTCAACCAGGAGAACGCTTTTGATGGAGTTTATCTCAGTTTTAGGAAATCACTTGAACCAGTGTCTCCTGCTTTTCTTATGGACAAAATGGAGAGCTGTGGGCTGGATCAGAAGCCAGCAAAGCATAGGTGGCCCAAATTCAGCTGCCTGTTTTCGTAAAACCTGTGAGCTATGAATGGTTTTTGTATCATTAAATAAAGTTTTATTGTATTTTAAAATGTAAAAACCATTCTTAGCTTGGGAGCTATTAAAAAACAAACCAACCAGGCAGTGCTGACCCCTTGAGCTAGATAATCGTATGATTAGGTGGTTTCAAGACTCTAAGGAAACATTAGTGGTTCGATATCAACGCAGAAGTAGATCATCTCCGTGTAGTTTGATTAGTGGCGTGGATACGGTCATAGGTGATGCACTTATCAAATCCGCATGACACTGGGAGGGATAGCTAGCTGTGTTTTGAATGGCAGCATCAGGATACAAGTTGATCTCAGTAGCACACACTGAGCTAAGTTTAATTAGACTAGATTTCAAAGCGACCCAAAGCAACTTCACAAATACAAGACGGAGAAGGCAGGCCTAGACAGCCATATCTGAGATTTTTAGTAGACTGCAATAATAAGCCAATGATAAGACATAGTAACTAAAACAGCCAGTCAGACTCCAGTTATGCTGAGGGACACAGAGTGTCCAGACCTAGGGAAGTCAGAGGCCTACTTTACTCTGCCCTGGGGAGACCTTCTCTAGAGGACTGTGTGACTCTGAGATTCTGGAATTCTGGAGCTGTATATGGGAGGGCAAGGAGGTAGAAGTCAAGAGATGAATTTGAGATCTCCAGCATGGAAAATTTGGGGAGCTTATGGTTCTTACAGGCACATGATGATAAGACCTCTTTTTATCCCTCAGGAAATAGAATGGATTTTACAAGCTAAGAAGATGAATCGTTTTGTGGTCAGTGCTATATGACTGTTTTCCTCTTCTCTCCTCTCCTTTCCCTTGTAGTGTGTTTTCATCCTTGTGTTTATTTTCTATTTCTCTCATTCCTTGTTTCCTCTCTCCCCACTCCAGCCCCCACCCCTATTAAGTAACCCGTGGCCAGAAACCCTAAAGGGATGGGAATGAGAAGAGGAGTATTCCCAGAGGGCTTTGGAAAGACATGAGTGCAAAGATGGTACAGAAAAAAAGATTTTCCATTGCACGCTAGGGGTATGGAAAGCTCTCAGTGCTAGAGGAAGGTCATCCATGCTCAAATGCTTTTTTCGGGGGAGTGATTAAGAGAAACTTAGATTTGGAGATAACCCTGGATGCCAGATCAATCCCAGGGCAAGAAGAGTGTTTTCAGATGCCTCCAACTAATGCAAACACATCGGAAATCAAAGGTAGAACTTTGGATTGGGAAGAGTGTGGCGTTAGATCCTCAGTGGCAGTGTTCACACACACACACACAAATATATATGATATTATATGTGGGTACATACATATTAGCACATTATGTATTTCATAAACATGTGTATGTATTCATTGTAAGGGAATGTCCAGAAAGGAAAGGCCTTCAATAACCTTAGTTGGTTCTGTCTCACTCCCCTAGATCTCCCCAGATACTAGGAACTTACCCAGTCACTGCCACCACCACACTCTGCCTCCAGGAGGTCACCGATCCCCCCGCAATACTAACACAAGACTGTCACTCCCAAGTATGGAAGAATTCTCAAGCCCTCCCAGAATGGGCTTTCTCATAAGTGGAATGTGGTCCATGGGCTTGTGGGTGTTGTTTTTTTATGTGTATGTTTGTGTCTAGATTTGTGTAGGCCTTTGCCCTGGCAATCCTGATTGCAACCATTCCTCAGATGATATAGTTTCCAGACTTTCCCATCTTTGTTGCCTTCTCATCCAACTTCTAACTTGTTTAACAACCTATTCACACTCTTTCATCCTCTGGGCTCCTTGTCTGTGTTCTCCAGTAAATCCTCCACAAGGGATCCACCCCAGTGTGCTGGGGGTTTTCCACTCCATTTCTTGGCATCACATAAGTGCCATGGCAGCATGTGAGCTGTCAATTTGTCTCACTTTTACTATGTGATGGGCCCAGCTCTTTTTCCAAGCATACTTATCTCGGACATCCTTTACACTGCTTTGTGCGGTCTCAATAGGATTTAATAAAGGTAAACTGAGGCACAGAATTCTGAGCTTTTATCAGTTTATTAGCAGGGCATGAACCTGTTCATAAAGTGGATCAAATGGCTACCTCAGTTAGGCCAAAAGACCCAGCGGAGGAGCTATAACTCCTTTTTATAAGTGCAGAACAAAGAACATAACTGGAAAGATAAGGAAAACAATTGGTTATAGGGTTGATAGCATCATGGGGGTGAGGACATGATTGGTCATATTAAAAGGAGTGGGTCAACACTTATGTGGAGCCAGCAACCACCCCTCTGTGCCTTACAGGAATGTTCGGTTGGTTTATGGGACCCAACTGCATCCTGAGACTATTGATAGTGGACCAGAAATAGAAGACTCCCTGACCCCTAAGAGGGAGATAAGACCCCCCCACATACCTTTAATTGGGCAAAGATAGGTAAGGATGGCCAATATCTCAACTGGAAATGTGCTAGGTTAGCTTATAGGCCTTCAAAGGTGGCAAACAGATGTCATGTAATTTTTCAAGAGCTGAAGTTATGAGGGATAACAAATTTTCTTTTAACTAACTCAGAGAGGTAGCTAAACACCTGTGACTATGAAATTGTTCATTTTTGAGTCCACCTGCAAGGTTAGAGATAGTGGACTGGACTCCCTGGTGTCCACCTGCATCCTTCAAGGATAGCAGATTTCCTTGAGTCAAGAACAGAACAGTGATTAGTAGGAGAATTAGATTTCTAAACTTAACTCATTACTAGCCAGCTGAATTTCTGAACTAAGTTTAGAGACAAAGAACCATGACTTAGGCAGTTACAGGACAAAATCAATTAATTGTAAATAGGATCAATAAAAATGATACCGAACCAATTTAATTTTCTCAGTGTTTGTAATTCATCATTCATAATACATTGCAGCCTACTCAGTAGCCATCACGTGTCTCTCCATTGCCTCAGGGCAGGGGTGGAGGTGGGGGGTAGGGGGACAAGACTTGACTCCTTAGAGGCTATAGTCTCTCATGATTCAAAGGAAGAACATTTTTTGTTTGAAAAGATAAGCCTTTGTTTCAAGGAGAAGTTTGGGGGTCATTGAAAGCTTTGCAGTTTCTTAAATCATTACATTTATTAAGTGTTTGCAATTTCCAAAAGTCATCCCAGCCCACTCTCTTCAATTTCTGTCCCATTTCGTTGTCCATCTTCAGTGACTGGGAAGTCTCTATCTATAGAGAATTCCTCTTCAAAACCAACTCTTCTGGATCTCTTCCATGACAGTGGTAGATACTTTTTTGGCCTTACTTGAGATTAATAATCAGACGGTCGTTGAACAACATCTCTGTTGTTACATCTTCTGAGGAATCTTGGATAATTCTGACATGTGCATGGGACGCCATGTTGAAGGAAGGGATGGTAAGACAGCATTCTGCTGTACTGAAATGCTTATAAAAATAATCCATAAACACGGACATTGGGGTCTTGTATTCACTTCTTCTTTGAAATTAATTGAGTGATAGTAAATACAGTGTGTCCCAAAAGTCTCAGTGTAGTTATAAACAATTAAAACCAAGACTTTTGGGACACCCTGTATGTAGACTTATTCCTTCTGATTAGCCCCTCATCAAGGATGCCCTCAATTCACATGTAGATTATTTTCATAAAACATAACTATGGATGGTAAAAAAGGGGTTGTTTGTGTTCGTGCCAGTTGCCTTTGAGGGGAAGAGGATAGTAACAGCTGAGTGTGAGAATCTTCCACACCTTTCATATATTCTCCACTTTCTTTGAGAATTGATCCCTCAGCATTTCAAAACTGTGTCACCTCCAGCCCCTATCTCCTCTGTAGATGTTTTGTCTGGGCCAACTGCTTTTCTCATCTTTATTTTTCTCCAGTGTCCCTTCTGATTTTTTTTTTCTCCAAGGCTATTTCCACTATTTCAGGCAGCGCCTCTGGGGACCATAATGTTAGAATCCAAACGTCTTTGATGGTGAAAAGAATTTGTTTTCAAAAATCTTTATCGGTCTTTTCCATTGTTATCTGTTTCTTGTCCTCCTATCATATTACTCTGCATTGACTTTATACATATACTGTATTTATTTCTTTCCAAACTTGTATCTCCCATGAGGGAAGGTGGGTAAACTCTTTGAGGTCAGAGGCCATCTTAGTTTTGTCTTTATGTGTTCAGTTCCTGGCACACAGTAGGCCTTTAATGAATGCTTATTAATTGGTTGATTAATTCATCAATCCTTTGGAGTTGATTTTACTTAGCTGGGTTTCTTGCCAAGCTTTCTATAATTTTTGAATTTTTTTTTTAATTTAAAAATTTTTTTTTTGTTTTTAGGCAATTTGGGGCTAAGTGACTTGCCTAGGGTCACACAGCTAGTAAGTGTCAAGTGTTTGGTCTGAGGCCAGACTTGAACTCAGGTCCTCCTGACTTCAGGGCTCTATCCACTGCACCACCTAGCTGCCCCATCCAAGCTTTCTTTAAACGCATTTTCTTTCACTGCTTTTCTCTGTTTCATGACATGATTTGTGTTGTTCAGTAGTTTCAGTCATGTCTGACTCTTCAAGACCCATTGGGAGTTTTCTTGGCAAAGATACTAAAGTGGTTTGCCATTTCCTTCTCTTATTCATTTTACAAATGAGGAAACTAAGGCAAACAGGGTTGAATGACTTGCCCAGGGTCACACAACTAGTAAGTAGCTGAGGCCAGATTTGAACTCAGGAGGATGAGTCTTCCTGACTCCAGGTCTGGCATTCTACCCACTGCACCACCTAGCAGCTTTCATGAAACAATATCACTCATAATCTGCTCCCATCTACCTCCATAAGAGTTTTTAAATGTTTCTAAATTTATATTCTAATCTAGTATTGCCCCCCAGCTGCCACACATCTTCATTTGTCAAGGAGATAAGTATTTTCTGACTAAAACAAATTTTAGACTTCTTAAGTCTCTTCATTATGGCAAACTGATTTACATTGGTTAAAGTTCTATACAGAATCATCATAATCGGTGCTGTTGTTCTTTTCTCCATTTCCCATTGGGAGCATCAGTAACTGTTTAAACAGGTCACTTTGGAGTTGTTTTCATTCCAATACCACATCTTTTTTTTCATTTTGTTATTATTTCCTCTAGTTTTATATTAATTTTGATCCCTTAACAAGTTCAGCAGTTGGACATTTGGCATAGTGAATTAAACTTGGAAATCAGGAAGGCCAGAATTCATATCCCACCTCAGACACTTACTAGCTGTGTGACCCTGGGTAATTCATTTATCCTCTCAGCCTCAGTTTCTTTATCTATAAAGCGGGAGTAAGTAATAGCAGATAATTATACATAAAGCAGTTTGTAGACCTCTAAGGGCTCAGTCAATGTTGGCTATATCACTGTTATTATTATTATGCAGACTGATTCAAGAATGATTCCCACATCAATAATGAATCATTTCCTGTACATTAAAATAGAATCAATCTTAATTTGGTTTTGGTGGTTTTATTTGATGCTGACTGTATCTAGTATGTCTCAATTCTTTTCTTAAACGAAGTATTAGTGCTACAGAGGTGTGAGGTTTCTTTGTAGCCTATAAAACTTTGGCCTTTCTTATTCCTCACTCCTGAACCACAATTTTTAGCAATATTCTTATCCATGCCCACTTTTGCATTGCAGTGACTGAGTATCAAAATAGTTTTTGATTTAACTTGGAGGGTCTTAGAGAATTCTCCTTAAAATTTCTGCAACAGATAGAGGTACATAAACTGCAATCATTATCGCAGCAGTCATATTACAAATATTTATCATTAATACTCCAATACAAGACGACCAATGTCCCCTAACAAGAGATTTCCTATTGCCTTTGACATGACATGAATCATGTCATGAAACAGAGAAAAGCAGGGAAAGAAAACATGTTTAAAGAAAGCTTGGCAAGAAACTCAGCTAAGTAAAATCAACTCCAAAGGACTGATGAATTAATCCACCAATTAATAAGTATTTATTAAAGGCCTACTGTGTGCCAGGAACTGAACGCATAAAGACAAAACCTAGATGGTCTCTGACTCAAAGAGCCAATCCCACTAGCTTCTTAATTTGTCTCTCCAAGGAGAGCATCAGTGTCATCCTTCTATTTAATTTCTTAGTTAACTAATTTAGTTAGTAACTAATTAGTAATTAGTAACTAATTTAACTATTTAACTGATATTTCCCTTTGTCTTACCTTTGTTTTGTTTATATCAAAAACATCAAAATTGACATTACTTGTTGCTCATTTCACAATAGTCTTACATTTAGAGTAATAATAACTAAGTGAATGTTTAGAAATGGTTTTTAAAAAATTTTGGGATTCTTAGCCCCCTCTGGTCCTTTGTTCATTAGGAAGATTCATTTGATAGTGGCATGCAAGATGAATTGTGGCAGAGAAAGACTGGCGGTTGGGTACCTAGTTATGAGGATACTAAGTAGTTCAGGCAAAATTTGCTGAGTACCTAAATTAGGAGACTGGAGGTAGAAATAGATGGGAGTGTGTGTAGGCCAGAAGTATTGTGAAAGTCTTGCAGTCAGACAGATATAGGTAATGATGAAGAAGGAATCAAAAAGATAATTCTGGGATTTCAAAGCTGGTTGATGGGGAGAATAGCAACAGTGTCAAATGCTAGAGAGAGGCCACGGAGGATGAGGATAAATAAAAGTCCACTGGATTTAGGAAAACAGATGTCAGTGTGATGAGGACGCAAAGCGTTAATGAATGGATAGTGAAGAAGTGAAGGGAGCAAATATCAACCACCTCCCCACCCCGATTCCTACCCCACCCCTGCCCCAGAAGTTTGACAGGGAAAGGCAAAATAGACAAAAAGGTAGTTTGAGGAATTGGGGGTTTGGAAGAAGGTTTTCTTTTCTTTTTTTCCCTAAAGGATTGAGGAAGAACTGGACATTGTAGGCAGATGGGTGAAGGAGACAGTGAAGAGAGAGGCTGAGCATACATGACAGAAAAAGAATTTTAGGTGGAGAAAGTGGAGGTTGGTGTTAGCTTTGGAAAGGAGGAAAGTCATCTCTTCTTCAGAAAAGATCAATTTTGAGATAAGGAGGGAGGGAGGAAATTGAGAGTGCCCTTATCAAATGGCCTTGAATTCAGATGGTAAGAAAAGTGGGATTTGGATTTGGCAAAGTGAAAACAAAAAGATCAGAACAGCCTCTTTGGGGAATGAAAAATGGAGTGAACTGGAGATGAAGAAAAGGATTTCTGAGAAGCAGAGAAGGATCAGATGAGATTAGATAACATGAATTTGTAAAAACCGAGTGACATAGAAAGTGCATGATGGAAGTAATCAATTCAGGATGGCAAATTAGTATATCATACTTGGCTGAAGGATAAGAGACAAAGGATTCTAGAATAAGAGACAGGGAGAACTTGAAATGGTTAGGAAGACAAGGCTAGAAGGCGACAGTGATCTGGGAGCATAACGTGGGGACTGAGGGCTGGAAGTTATAATGGGGGCAAAGAAGATGATAACTAGAAGAAACTTCCTCCTAATAAGGTTAGGCATTTATCGGAAGATAGGAACTAAAGTTGGAGATATTGGCCATAGATCCACTCAAGTCATATCTACATTATGGTTCTTGCACTCCAGCTATCTTCCCCATCTCCCCTCGTCCCCAACCCCAACTAGATAGTTAAGACTATGCCCCTAGGATGCCAGGTACTGTCGATGAGTTTCATGTGATGCCTCCATGCAACTGGCGGGCATCTCCGCTCCTTCCTTGACTGGTGTCCACCTCTCCTTCCTTCTTTCCATGGGCTCTTTTTGTGTTGTCTTCCTTCATTAGTATATAAGCTTCTTGAGACAGGGACTGTCTACTTTGCTTGTATTTGTGTCCCTAGTGCTTAGCCCAGTACCTGGCACACAATAAGTGAATAATAAATGCTGTCTATCTGTCATCATCTGTCTACCTATCTATCATCTAGAATAACTGTAAGAGATAATGTAGTCCAAGATATGCCTGTGCTGGTGAAAAGACAAGAGTGGAGAAGATATCATAGAATCATATGTTTAGAAGTGGAAGAGGCCTTAAGGTTTATCTAATCCATCACACACACATACACACACACACACACACACACACACACACATTTTAGAAATGAGGAAACTGAGGCACAGAGAGTTGAGTGATTTGTCCAGAGTCACATGGTAATAAGTAAGTAAGCAGTAAGCATGATAGCTAATGTGCAGAGGATATTGATGGTCAAGGTAGATGGTCTTTCTGTCTTTTTTGTGGAGGAAATCTGGAGAGCCTGAAAATTTCTAACCTATCCCATCATCTTCCCAGACCACCTCGGATATTTAGTGTGATTGTTGAAGTCAGTATTGATGATAGCAAGGGATAAAGTAAAAAGGAGGATTGTGAGCCAAGTCCTGAGATCATCAAGGAAGATGTGGGTAAATATGGAAGCTTGTTAGACCATAGCAATGAGGATGTGGGAGAGTGTGGTATAAGTGCATATGTATTAATGAAAAAATGAGGCTGTTGAGTGATGGTCGTGGAGCTGTGGTATGGAACTGGCAATGAACAACAAGGAGTAGACAGATTCTTCCTCTGGAATGTGTATGTGGAGCCTATATCAGATTGTGTGCCATCTTGGGTAGGGAGATGGGGAGGGAGGGGGAAAACATTTAAACTCAAAAGCTTATGGAAGTGAGTATTGAAAACTAAAAATAAATTTTAAAAATTCTTCCTCTGCCTGCTGTAAATCCAGGAAGCTGGAGAAAGTATGACTTCCACTGGAAGTGATATCATCAAGGGAAAGGCAATCATGATGAGGAGGTGGAAATAACAGTGGTGGAAACATAGAAGGCTAGGAGAGTTTGCACACAGAAATGAAACAGACATTTGTGAGGACACAAAGGAAAAAGCTGATAGATGAGTAGGTGCAGAGAGAGTAGGCCAAGGGATGGATAGGGATGAGAATAAGAGAGATTGTTAAGGCCTTGGGCCCAGATGAGAAAGAAGAGATCCTGAAAGTACCCTTCCCCAAACCCACCTCCCTCGCCCCAAATAAAAGCCAACGAAGCCTTAGGATTATGGGTTTAGAAAAGAATGGAAGGGATTTTGGAGGCCACCGAGCTCAACCCTTGCCTTTTATAGACGAGGACACTGAGGCCCCAAGAAGTGACGTGGTCCCATTGATGGTGAATGTATGAATCAGGATTTGAACCCAGAAAGTCGTAATGTTTCAATCACCACAGCACCTAGCTGCTTCCTTCTGAAGACTAGCTGCTAAGAGAGCTCTCTGGCTTTGATCCTTGTTTACTGCTTCTGGGGTCAAGGGGATGGGTCCCAGCCTTTCCCCCACAGCCTGCCTACTAGTGATCATTTTGTCCCTTGCCCTATGATTCTTGGGCTCTTTCCAGAGGTCCTAGATGCCTACATGTTAATGCACAGATGATGCACATCCTTGAATCATTCAGGTGTTTTTACTGTGTTTCAGGCGGGGCGTTCTGTGAAAAATGAGGACGTACAGGTATGAAAGGTGTATGAGTGCATGCAAGTATGAAGGTATCTCCTTTCCTCTACCTTGCCTCACCCCTACCCCTCCTTTGTTATCCAACCCTTCTCCCCTTCTTAAAACTATCACCCTCACCCTCACCCTGTATTTATTCACAGAATCATGGCATCCTAAGTTCAGAGCTGGAAGGGACCTTAGAGGACATTGAGTCCAACCCCCTGATTTTACAGATGAGAGCCCTGAAGCACAGAGTAGTTAAGAGACTTACCCAGAGAAACACAGCTGCTAAAAGTCTGAGGCAGGATTTCAACCTAGGTCTTCCTAACTCCAGGCTTAGCACCCAGTCTGCTGCTACATGCTGTCTCATCTTTACTCTTCTCTCCTTCCTGATCATCGTCCTTCCTCCTCCCACTGTCTCTTGGTATCCTTTTTCTCTTTCCTCTTCTTGGGTCTCTTTTCCCTTCCCCCTCTCATCCTCCCAATAGTCATCTCCCTTCCTGAATGGTAGATTCTGTCCTGGAAATCTCTCCGCTGGTCATGGGGTGATATGGGGAGGGGCCACAGTCACAGGGACAAAGAGGATTTGGGAGAGGGGTGTGAGGAGGGAGGAGCACTGACCTTCTTTCTTCCCTGGCCCAGATGATTTTTTCTGCTATCCTCCTGATCAACCTCATTTTAATGGAACTGGTTTTCATCCCCTTGGCAGAGTGGCTTGGAATAAACTTCTCGTAGGTGTCTCTCTCTTGGGTTGGACTTCCCTGTGGGGAGGGTGGGAGAGAGTGGAGGGCCTTTGTTTCTAAATGTCCTAAATGTGAGAAACTCGATATGTATTTCATAACTTCACCCTTTCCACCATGGTGGCTACTACCCTTACTTTCCTCTGCATGGTTAATTCACTTTGTTTCCCCCTCTCTCCTTCTAGATTAATAAAGAAAACAATGATAGGAATGATCTTAATCTACTTCTCAAGCCTAATATCATTCCTCCTGGAACTACAAATTGAGGTGAAAGGGGATGGGGAGGGCAGTGAGGGGTCTCTAAGGAGTTTCCTGAGTGGAATCAGGGAGGTTGTCCAGTGGTAACAGACATGAAAGGGCCCATTCTCCCCACTAGGGAGAGCTTTCCACAGCAAGGACTTCCCAATAGGGCAGTTGGTGTCTAATATAAGTTTGGGAAGGAATGTTCCTTCCCCATCCCTCTAGTAGCCTAATCACAAAAAGGGTCTGAGGGTGATTCCAAGAATGAATGGAGGGAGGTAATCCATGACAAGGAGATGAGATGGGATGTAGGAAGGTGAGGATGTTTTTGACAGGGTAGGATGGCAGGCAGATCAGGGGAATACTTGGGTTAAAGCACATCTCTTAATGCTATCCTTATGGACAAAATGGAGCACACAATAGTACCATTGGGTGGATTCAGAATTGGTCAAATAACTGTAGCCACTAACTCACCATAAATGGCTCACTGTTAACTTAGAGAGAGGAGTTCAGGGGCAGGGCCAAATCCCCTTATCACCTGAATGGTAGATTCTGATAGAAAGTGATAAGAGGAGCACAGAAGGGACATAGGGAGGTGAGTGTGGATATGGGGGACTTGTGGAAGGAAGGATGCATGGAAGGAGTGTGAGGTGATGGGTCCTTCCTCCCTGTCCAAGGGATCCTATGGAAAGAGTGCTGGATTTGGAATTCTAGGACCTGGGTTTGAATTGGGATTCTGCTATTTGGAAAGGGAAGGAAAGGACATCAACCATGGACATATTCATCCATGGCATGCATATAAGAATGTGGTCTGATGGAGATATGAAGAGGTTAGAGATATATGGAAGGGATATGGGGGAACATGAAAGGTCCAGGTATGCTTACATTAGATTCCTATGGGGTTGATCAGTGGGAACAGAGTGGAGCTATAGTGAGGCTCTGGTTGAACTTTGTTCCTTCAGAAGTCTCCCAACATCCTGCCTGGCTCCAGAGAGAGCTTCCTGAGAATCATTAATGTAGCTGACATTTCATTTAATGTGACCTTTCTTAAAAACAACAGCTCTATGTCCTACTCCAGAGTGTCCCGAGTTTTTCAGGTGAGTATGTGTCTATGTATCTCCGTGTGTTTGTATGTCTTGAGACTAGGCCTTTATTCTTTGTGCATTTCTGTGAATGTCTTTGTACATCTGTGTGCTATCCTGGACTCTGACGGTGGATTAGACTACCTACCCATTTGTCTCAGCTGTAACTTCTAGACCCTATATGTTGTTTACTTAACCATAAGACCTATACAGCTAAGTACACACTTAAGATCATACACTTAAGCTCTGGAGGGACCGAGAAAAGTTTTTGGTAGAAAGTGGTACCTGGGATGAGCTTTGTGATCAGACATGACTGCATTCTGGCCATGGGCCACAACCTATTTCAAGGTCCCTGCGTAGGAGAACAGCAAATATCTAATTTGGCTAGAATGGAGGGTAGGTAAAGTGGAGTCACATGAAATGCCTCAAAAGAGTTTGGAACCATATTGTGCAGGGCTTCAAATGTAAAGCTGAAGAGTTTGCATTTTATCTTGGAGGCAATAGGTAGCCACTGAAGATTCCTGAGCAGCTGAGTGCATGGCCAGCATAGACTAGAGAGAGGAGAGAATCAAATGGGCGGATAGACAAGTTATTGCTTTAGCATTTCTATCTTTCCCATTTTAGATTCAATGGCTGGAAGATAACAGCAAAATAATAGAGTCACTAGATCATATATTTAGAGCTGGAAAGGACCTGAGGCCAGCTGCTCAAACACTTCAATGGCCCTATGATCTCATCATATGGCGAGTCTTTATAAGAAGGGTCATCACCCATCTGTGTCTGCCCAACGTGATTGACTCTTCCCATAATATGTCCATCTATCAGCCTTCTAGAGGGGGCTTAACATGCTAAGGGCTCCCCCCATTTATCTCTTGCCATTGCTTGGATGCCAGTGAAAAAGAGGGTTGACTGTAGGGTATCCCTCACTCTCACATATGACCAACCTGGTTTGGGTGGTTTTTTTTTTCCAGTCATCCATTTTTCTAATGATCTCCTTTATGCTGCCTCTCCTATGCAATTCCTCATTTATATCTTGCACCTTACACGTACCATTCCATTGCCCTTTGGGTAATCCTAAGCTTCAATTCTCCAGAAACTACTGTTTGGTGATTTATAGCATAATCAGGAAAACCTTGGTGTTGAAAAGATGGCCTTTTGTTTCAGGGAGAAGTTTGAGATCATGCAAAGAACTTTGCAATTTCCCTAAAAGGCAATCCAGCCTACTTTCCTCTTCTTCAGTTTAGGCTAAGATCTTTGTCCATTTGCATGGCCTATTCAAGCTTATAATTTTACATATATACATATGCACACAATTTTACATATATAATATATTTACACATATGCTACATATATGGACTGTGTATGCACGTACACATTTATAATTATATGCATGTATGTATGTGTAATATATACACATATATACCCACACTGATGAATAGTTTTTTTTTTTTTAAGGCAATTGGGGTTAAGTGACTTGCCCAGCGTCACACAGCTAGTAAGTGTCAAGTGTTTGGTCTGAGGCCGGATTTGAACTCAGGTCCTACCTGACTTCAGGGCCGGGGCTCTATCCACTGTGCCACCTCGCTGCCCCATCTTGTTCTCTCTTAAGGACCCTAACATGGAGTTCTCATCACCCATCTTCCCTCTCAAGGCTGGAAGCCAGAAAGAAGTGCCAGCAGCAGCTGTAGAGCCCAAAGAGGCTGAAGAGACTAAAGGAAGGCAATAGACTAAAGAGACAAGATCACTGAGCAAGAAAGAAGAGGCAATCTCTTGGGTTACATTCCTCCTCTGAGCCAAACCTCTGTGTAGTCCCTTGCAAAGATCACCTGGGGCAACTCTGAAACGTGCAACTCTACAGTATAAACACAAGCATCAGCGCTTTAAAACAAGAAGGCTGCATTGACACTCCAGATAACCATCCTTCAGTTCAGCGGATCGGAAATAAATCCAATGCACATTAACAGTACGTGCAATAGACACGTCACTCTGCAGGGCATCATGTGGAGGGATACCACGGAGACAGATAACATGCCTGAGTACATACAGGACATTGTACACGCACATTTCAAAAGCACATGCATATCCGTAGCACACAGTAATCAATCAGAACCAATAAAGGTGCCTAACAAAGCTGGCCAGCTGTAGCAGTAACACAATCAATAGACCTACCTATACAATGCAGCTTACCTATAAGCTGTAAGATGTAAGCCAGACAATTAACAAGTAGCCATTGCTATAGCATGAACATAAAACATAATCAAATGAATATAACACCAAAAATAAAAAACAAGCATATGCAAACATGCAGTAATTTGCATACTGTTGTTCGGACATTTTTCAGTCACGTCCCACTCTTTGTGACCCCCTCTGGGGTTTTCTCGGCTACGATCCTGAAGTGGTTTGCCCTTTCCTTCTCCAGCTCGTTTTACAGATGAGGAAACTGAGGTAAACAGAGTTAAGTGACTCGCCTAGTGTCACACAGCTAGTAAGTGTCTGAGGCCAAATTTGAACTCAGATCTTCCTGACTCTGAGCCCAGCTCTCTATCCACTGCACCACCTAGCTGTCCCAATTTGCATGTACAGCAATAAATATATGCAGTTCCATCCATGGGCGATCTCTAGTATTGTCGCCTAGATCTATGTGTCACTATGTCTTCATGCTCATCTGTAACATCATAATGTAACCTAGTGATAGGTCTTTTAGACCTAATTCTCTTGTTGCGGACAGATCTCTCTGCTCCTATCACAGAGCTAGTAGCCGGTATGAGCTGACATTCAGGCTCATTAATGACTTGTTTATCTTCACCTGGGCTGGCAACCATTCCAAGTTGGCTCTCAGTATTTTTGAGCTCTGTAGTTTGAATCTGTACCCTCTGAGTCGCTGTAGCAGTTTTGGGCAGGAAGGGGGTAGTCTCTGGGTTCAATTCTCCTTCCCTATAACAATATACACAGTCTCCTTCCCTGAATACATCATTCAATGCCGGTATCTGGGTCAGCAAGTCTTTGTACAGCTGGTGGTCAGTGTCTTTTCCTCAGCCTTTGCCTGGATGTGTCCATCAGTTTTCTCCACCTGCTCATGAGAAAGTCCAAGTAACTTTTCCTATGGGCAGTAAGTGGTTATGGTGAATAGTCCCGATAGGGCACACTTTCTTCTCTGGGGCTATTTGGTAAATAGGCAATTTACCCAGTCTCTCGATAACTTTGTATAGATTAGCTTTCCAACAGTCTGCTAACTTGTAAGGTTCTGGACAGATGAAAGCAGTCTTTTCCTTGTCTTTCTCGGGCATAGGAATCTCACAGTATCCACTACACAAGTCCAAGACTGAGAACCACTGGCTGCCCAGCCCACAGTCCAGGGTATCTTGCACCCGTGGTACAGTGTACAGATTTATTTTAGACCCTTTGTTCAAGATTTGGCAATTCACACATACTCATATCTTTCCATTTATCCACTTATGGATAATGTATAAGTTCTGCTGGATTTTGTGCTGATGCCATTAACCAATATTTCTTTGAGCTGGTTTCTGGGATCTTCCCTCATAGACCCAGGAATTGTCCTAGAGCTTTCTTTGAATGGTCTGGAATCGGGCTGCACCTTGAGCACATTCTGTATCCCACTCATGCAACGAAAACACACCCATCCTCTTGCTGAGTTCCAGCTTCGACCTATCCTTCTACTCCTGTGGTATTGGGGTATCCCCAAGTCAAATCCCTCAGAATCCAGCATAGAGGATGAATGCTTGGAGTTCCTGTCATATTCATTGGAACCTCTTGCCCCTCTCATGTTGTAAGCCTCTACACAGTGAGCATGGATGATCAAATTGCATAGAGTTTGGGGTCCCAGTTTGTTGTCTGCAGTATCCTGCTAGAATTTTGAAAAGACTGGAATTAATTGGAATCAGTGCTGACAATCCAGTGAGTGACATCCCAGAGCCACAGTGTCTACTTTTCTATTGATACCAACAATGTCTCTGGGAAATTCCCCTGGCTGCATCCCAGGTATGGATAGATTTTATCCCTTAAACCACCAAATCTAAGCCCTGTCATATGTTTTAAAGATATTTTATTCAAATAGTTGTCATAAAAATATGAGAAAATAATGTTAACTTGAAGTCTACCATCCAGGACAGCAGTGCAGTCCACAATCTCAATTTTTACCACGCCTCTGCATGAGGCCCATAAGGAACTGATGATACGGTCAGTATGGCTGATCACCTCCGTCCTCTGATTTCCTCAAGCTAAAGATTTTTACTTCTTTGTAACTAAGGCTGCATTTTCTATGCCCATCTACTCACCATAAGTAAGGCTGTCTAATTCACAATTATTAACAAAATGTGAATTTGTTACTCTGATGGTTATCAGCAGAAGTGTTCTTTTGTGACTTCCATCCCCTTGGCCCTCCACCCCTCCAAGGAGAATAGGATCGTGTACTGGTCCACCTCTCGATTGATTGTGTCGGGTTCTGTCACTTGGGGTGTTGTTGACCTGCTTTGCTCCTGTTGCCCATGCTGGAGAAGGACTGGAGCCTGCTAAAGCTGAGCCCTGTGAATTATATTGATCCTCAGGAGAATCTGTCTCAACTCGGTCACGGTAGGCAATGGTTTCTGTGTTTGCACAGAACTGATGACATCAGATACAAGAGAGTCATGTACCATGCCATGGAATGACCTCTACAGTGTAAATTTTCCTGCATTCTCAGGATCCACAGGGCCTATCTGTATTATTTTGTGCACCCATTGCTCCAACCTGAGGAGGAACTCAGCAAGTTTTTCATCTTTGTGCTACACAGTATTTAACACAAAATTAACATAGAGGTCTTATGATCTACTCCCCTCAAATATCTCAGCTAAAGTTTGTGTACATTCATGCCAGGTAACATTTGCCCTTTCCTCTATGAGAGCATCCACTGATAATGTAGCTGTTACCCTTAGGATATCTGTCTGTCTCATCACTTTGTCTGGCTCGGGCCTTCCATTGTCCCAGGTACACTCTCATCTGTCCAACTCAGGCCTCCCAGGATTTTTCTCCCAGGGAATATGGTTCATCATCCAGAGAAATGCCAATTTGGAGCCCAGAATATCTGTATACCACAGGTATGGGCTCTGTCTTACTCACAGATAAAGATTTAATTGTGACAGTCAATCCATCAGGATGCCTCTTTTGATCAGAAGGGCTCCTACACCTTAGCAATTACATTAAAGGAATTCTTCACCCTCAGAGGGTGGACAAGACTGAAATTCCGAGGAATTACTTCCTCCTGTCAGATTCTCAGTATCTATCTCCGAAGTGAAAATGCTCAGGCAGGATTAGAAAAAAAAAACTTTGTGAATCATCTCACCTTCTTCAAGCTCAATGGCTTTAATTGAGCTAATCCTTTCACTTGTTTGCTCAATATCCTTAAAATATCCTCATTCTTGCCATCTGGGTCTACTCCTGATATTAGGAGACCTCTACGCTTTCCAACTTCAAAAGAAAGACACTACCCCTCAATTATCTTAACTCCCATCATTTCTAGAGATCGCTCCACATGTGTTCATATTAATATACAAATATTAATACAATTAATAAATGTACAGTATTACAGCAACAATGGCAAATGGGATTAATATATTGTGCTTAAACAGTACAACAGTACAGCAAAAGACATGAATTAAAATCATGAAGATGGTACCAATTACTTTTTTTATGAATCAACATATAGCAATTAATTATAAATTTTAAGAAATACACTACATCAACAAATTCAGCAACTTTACAACAGTAAGATAAAGCCAAGGCAATTTGGATAAACTTGTTACTTCCAAAAACAGTAAAACAAGAATAAAAAATACATTCAAAGATTCCAGGATACAACTAAGAAGAAACAAAATTATCTACAGCTCTTAAAAAAAATATGCTTCCTACGAAGAAAAAAATGCAAAAAAAAAATTTTTTTAGAATGGGGAGACAAAATCCACTTCTAAAACAAAAACAAAAACTGACCACAGGGGAAAAAAATTCTAGAAACTATCTTTCTAAGCCAAAGCATCCCAAGGCTCACACAACTTGTCTGAGGCAACATCCATTTAAATGCAAAGGGCTACGGTAAGAAATGAGAAAAAAGAGATGGCTTCAGGATTCATCAGCAACTCAGTTCAATTCAATAAACATTTATTAAGAACCTATTTTGTGCCAGGCTAAGTGCTAAGCACTGGGGATACAAAACGAGGCAAAAGACAGTCACTGTACTCAAAGAGCTTACAATCTAATGGGGGAGGTAACACGCAAACAAATATATACAAAGTAAGTTACATACAGAATAAATAGGAAATAATCAAAAAAGGGAAAGCAGTGGAATTAAGAAGGGTTAGGGAAGGCTTCCTGTAGAAAGCGGGGTTTTAGTTGGGAATTGAAGATAGCCAAGGAAGTCAGTAGTTGGAGCAGAAGAGGAAGGGCATTCCTGACATGAGGGACAGCCAGGGAAAATGCCCAAAGCCTACATGCAGTGTTTTATTCTCAGAACAGCCAGGAGACCCATCTCACTGAATGAAAGGGTACCTGTCAAGGAGGAAGATGAAAGACTGGAAAGGTAGGAGGGGGCTAGGTTATGAAGGGCTTTGACTGTCTAACAGAGCATTTGTATTTGCTCCTGGAGGCAACAGGGAGCCACTGGAATTTATTAAGTAGGGTAGGGAAATACAATCAGACCTGAATTTTAGGAAAATCACTTTAGTGAATGAGTGGAAGATGGACTGGAGTGGGAAGAGACTTGAGGCAGGCCGGCCCACCAACAGGCTATTGCAATAATCCTGGCATGAGGTGATGAGGGCCTACACCAATGGGTGGTAGCAGTGTCAGAGGAGAGAACGTGGCATATGTGAGAGAGATTGCAAAGGTTAAATCAACAGGTTTAGATATGGGAGAGGATCGGGAGAAAGGAGTCCAGGATAACTCTTAAGTTGTGCATCTGATGGGCTTGGAGGATGGTGTTGCCCTCTACAGAAATACGGAGGGTAGGAGTTGTTGTTCAATCCTGTCCAACTCTTTGTGACCCCAGTTGGTGTTTTCTTGGCAAGGATACTGGAGTGGTTTGCCATTTCCTTCTCCAACCCATTTTACAGATGAGGAAACTGAGGCAAACAAAGCTAAGTGACTTACCCGGGTCGCCCAGCAAGTAAGTGTCTGAGGCCAGATTTGAATTCATGAAGATGAGTCTTCTTGACTCCAGGCCTGGCACTCTATCCACTGTACCATCTAGCTGCGCCCAAAGGTAGGAGAGGGGAAGGCTTAGGGGGAAAGTTTCTTTTTGGGATATACTAAGTAAATCATGCATGGTTTTAGAAAAAATAGCAAATGCCCTCCCCACCCCAGCACCCCCCCCCACACACAAAATTTCTTGCAAAAATAATTGACGGGAAATTATCTTTGCTCCAGACAATAGTGAAGAGAGAATCCCTCTTCTCTCCTGCTTCTCACCAACTCCATCTGCCCCTTGTTTAGGTGCAAGGCATTGATTTCCACCAGTGAGGAGAGAGCTCAATACCAATGGGCCTTGGGACTCAGCTTACTCCTGTAAGGTCTAATTTATCTCCTAGCCAAACTTACCACTGGTTCTGCTTGTTACTCATGTTTTGTACATTGGGATATAGACATCTGAAGCCATAGCGATATATTGCTTGGATTTTGTCTCCAGCGGATTTCTGAGTGACTCTACTATTATTATTCCTACATAGAAGCTACTTTCAATCTTATCACGCTTGGTGGATATGCATAGGTTTTTTGTTTGTTTATTAACTGGGGGTAAGGAACTGAGGGGTTTTTTCCTTTTACAAAAGGATACTTACTGAGAACACAGAGCAAGAACAGAAGTTACAAACATTTTCTCTAGACATCTAAATACACAATCTCCCCTATTCCACTGAAGTCCATGAGTGAGAGCTGGTTTTTGAAATATTTGCTACAAAACATTCACCTCCACCAAGGTCACTTCCAAATGCCAAATTGCTGATGGCTATATCAGTCTGAGTCTCTGCTACTGCTAGGCTGTGTCAAGCTGGTAGCTCTTCAGGGTCTTGGCATAAATAAATTTCTCCCTCTCTCTTCCTTTTCAGATGACGCTCTTTTTATTAGCATCATAAGACTCTAGGCAACCCAGTCTTGCCATTCATTGTGAGCCATTTTATCCTTAGCCAAGAGCTTGCAATGCCTGTATTTTAAGCCATGGGTCTGAAATCCAAATCTCAATCTCAGATATCATCTTCTTATTCAACGTTCATTTCCTTATCTGCCTTTCTCTTCTGAAGCCAGTCTTTTATCACTAGCAGTCATGGAAATATCCCTAAAATCTTCAGTTTCTCTCCCAAGACTTCATAATCCTTAGCAATGCTTTCTACATTCCTTTTTTGGCAGTAAGTATCCTGTGTGCCCACTTTAATCAGCAAAAAAGGGCAGAATTCATCCAGTTTGAGAATTCTGGAAGACTTAATGGTGCATCCTGAATCCATGCCTTTGGATGTATTAGACCTCTTTACTATTAGATTTAGATTGACAAACAGGCACTTCATCATCCGTCATCCAGTGGTTACCAGTCATCACTACCAATCTGTCCTTCCTCTGACCGTTACTAGATGATCACTCAACACAGCTATAGATTCAGATCATCAGCTTTTGGCAAACCAGTATGGGCTTTCTCCCCAAAGAGTACATCTCTGTCCTTAACTTGCCCAAAGTTACATTCAACCCAAGGTTTTCTGCCTCCAAATCTGCTGCCATTTCCATTATATTCTGCTACCTCCTACGAGCTCTCTCCCAGAACACGAGCTGCAGAGGACAACATTGTTTGAGGTTTTCTTAGTCGTTCGAGGCACCCAAATTGACCCAATGTTTTCTTCTAGAATGCAGATGATTACCACAGAATATACTTGGACTCAGACCAGCAGTATTTCCAGATAAAACTGCATACCAATACATTGGTCAAAGAAGAAGAGATTCTCTTAGAGAAGAGGACGACCTATGCTATGATTCTGCATGGAAACAGAAAGTTTTACTCAATCATACTGGTGAGAGCTGGGAGTGGACACTGGATGGGAAGAGACAGAGCAGCCCTGGGGGAAGGAGGGAGAAAGAAGTGGGGAGACAAAAAGGAAGGGTTAAGTAGAGAAGAAAGATGACACTGTCTATGATTTCTCTCCCTCTCTTTGCTTTAGATCAAGGAGACAACTACCAAACCAGAGACTGGAGTTGCATATGTGAGGTATATATGATTCAGTTCTCAACTAAAGAAAGGTATCTTTTGGGGGCAGTGGAAGGCAGCATGTCCTGAGGCCCTGTCCATCACATCCAATGGGCTTAGAGCAAATATTTAGGTTTTCCCACCTGTAGTCCTAACATATTTGTCAGTACCTATTCATCCGTCCATCTGTCTCACATTGGGAAACACCCTATGGGCAGTACCATTGCCCAAGAACGCATCTCAGATGGGGAGCCCTTACAGGGGCTGTCCTTAAGTGATTCTTCAATTATATTGTTTCCATAAAGATAAAACAATTATTTGCTAAATTAACAAAGAATGACAAGTTACTTATCTATAATATTATAATAATAATTTTTGAAAATCATATTTTTAGGGAGATTTAAAGAAATAGAAAAAGTATAAAAACATAGTACCATTAATATAATAGTATAATCATTATAATAACTTCTCATAATGAAATAACTATTCAATAACTAGTTATTCTAACCACCATTAGTAACCACTATTCCTACTGCCACCATTCAGAATAAGTATATACCTTCATTCCCAGAATCTCAGATCTGGAAGGAAGCCCAGAGGCCATCTAGCCTGGCCTATACCTGAATAAAAATCATCTATTACAAAACACTGAATACAAATCCCCTACAATAAAATACAACAAAATACAATTGGTTACCCAGGCTTCTTTGGAAGACTTCTAGTGATATAGAATTTGCTGCCTCCTGATCAAGAAGTTCATTAATTGTTAGAAAGATTTTTCTTATTGGGCATAAACTTGCCTCTTTACAACTTCAGTCAGTCATAAGACATTTATGAAACACTTAGTATGTGTATGGCTCTGTGCTAAATTCTGGGCATACAAAGAAAAACAAAAATATGGTCTCTACCCCCAAGGAACTCATATTCTAAAGGGTGAGACAACATGCAAACAACTGTATATATACAAAATATATACAATGTAAATGAGAGATTGTCTTAGAAAGAAGGCATCATCAATAGAGGGAAGCCTGAAAAAGGCTTTCTGCAAAAAGCAGGATTTGAGCAGTCTTGAAGGAAACCAGGGAAGCTTTTTTGGCTTCCTTTTTGGCCAAAGGGAGGAGAGAGCATTCCAGGCATGAAAGATAGCCAGCATAAAGGTCTGGAGTGGAAAGATGGAGGGTTGTGTGAGAGGAACAGGATAAAGCACAGAGTCCGTATGTGTGCAGGGAAATAAGTAACAAGACAGATGTCTTCTAGGTCTTCCTTCTGGAACAAGGCAGAAAAAGTCTAGAGAGCCTTTCAAATAACCTGAAGACAACTGTCACATCCACCATGAGTCAAGTCGTCTTTTCTCCAGGCCGAACATCCCAAATTCCTTCAACTGGTCCTTGTCTGGCACAATCTTAAGGGCAAGAGCTAGCCATTCCCATATTTTAAGCCATGGTGTAGAAATCCATATCCTGTTTTCACACACCATCTTCCCTTCTGATATTTGGGGGAAGAAGGTGGGGTCTGTTATCTGTCATCAACAACAGAAATGAAAACACCATTCATGTCTTTGAGGTCTTCAGTTTCCTGCCCAATACTTCATCATCACGGGCAATGTGTTCTAGAGTTGTGGCAATATCATTTGTGCCCATGTGAATCAGGAGCAGCATAAACAGGTGGCATTCATTTACTTTGAGAAGTCTTGAGAGAGTTACCATCATGGCCTGGCTATCTGCCCTGGTGAGACAATAGACCTCTCTTCTCTTATGGTCTGTCTCATCACTCCTTATCACCAACTTTCACCACTTGCTCTTCTCTTCTTCCGCTGACCCTTACTGAATGGGCTCTGACATGCTGGAGCCTTGGGAATCAATCCTACTTCCATGACAATCCTTGTATCCATTCTCCTTCCTCCACTCCCCTTCCCTCACACCCCAGTTCAGGTCCTCATCACCTCTTGTCTCCTTTAGACTCTATCTGTGGCTAAAGACTCCCAGTTGGCCCCAGCCTCATTCCCACAGAGCCACCAAACTGATACCAAACTAAAGCACCAGTCTGACCATATACACTCCCCTGCTTAAGAAGCTGCGTGTTTCCTTACCCTCTTTAGGATGAAATACAATTTCCTCCATGTGATAGGGAAAATCTTTCGCAATTTGCCTCCAGACTACCTTTTCAGGCAGATTAGACATTACTCCCCCTTGAGCACTCTACATTCTAGCCAAACCAGCCTCCTTGTTCTTCTCTCTGCCCAACATTACATCTCTTGTCCCCATGGCTTTGCAGCTGTCCACATGTCAAGAATGCACTCTCATCCTCGCCTCTGTCTGGTAGGGTCCCTAGTTTCCTGAAAGGATAACTCAGGCACCTCTCAAACACCACTATGCCAGTGCTTCTCAAACTTTCATTGCTCATTCTTTATATTTACTATTATTGCTGCTGCTGCTGCTACTACTAACTACTACTACTGTTGCTGCTGCTGACTCTTCAAATCCTTTGGTTTATTTTTGAAACCCTTTTCCCATGTTGCTTTTTTTAAAGGAATACTTTCTTCTCTGTAATGACCTGAAGAGTGGAGAAGCATTCCTTAAGAACCTTTAACTTTTTTTGTTTTTTGGTTAGGCAATGGGGTTAAGTAACTTGCCCAGGGTCACACAGCTAATAAGTGTTATGTGTCTGAGGCCAGATTTGAACTCAGGTCCTCCTGAATCCAGGGCCAATGCTCTATCCACTGCACCACCTAGCTGCCCCTAACTTTTCTTCTAAGGAGATGAACCAACCACTTGGAATATTATAATCATCTCCTGAAAGGTCTTCCTGCCTTCACTGTGTCCTCCCCCTCTAATCGATCTTTCGCACTTCAATATTTCAATGGATATGTGATCTTGTCAGTATGTGTACTCCCTTCATTTGTGCAGATGGAAACACATCCACACTTTCTCATTCAGTGACTTCTCCATGCCTTCCTACAAATCCTCCTCCATAGGGCATCCACTTAACTTTCTCAGGGCGTCTTCTAGATTTTTCAAAGTTACATAAAGGCCAGTGGAGCATTGCACTGGCTACCAGTTTTCCTTTGCTCTCATCATATGACTGGCCAGCTTTCATTTTTGATTTTTTATATACATACATACATACGTATATATATATATATGTATGTATGTATGTATGTATGTATGTATGTATATTCTTGATACCTTCATTATCATTAGTGATAATGTGACCTACTTATACCTACCATGCATCTCTGTATTGTCCTTTGGGAGGTCCTCAACTTTTCCCTTCAAAGATTATGATATTCCATAACTTTGTGATAATATATAGCACCTTTGAAGGGATACTGAAATGAAAAAGATGGTGCTTTGTTTCCTAGCTTGGGTGTGGGATGAGAGGGGGAAAGTGTCATCAAAGGCACTGTACAATTTCCTAAATGCAATGTTGCCCACCCCTTCAATACCTGGCATAGTTTATTATCCACCTCTTTGAATTTTCAAGATATACTGACTATATTGACAGCATATTCAAGATATACTCACTATACTGAAGGATCAGTATAATGGACTGTCCATCCCAACCTGATATTATAGTCTGGTCAATAGTCATACTTTATAAACTTAATTTTTACTGTGTGATTAGAGCAAATACTTTTGAGTGATTATGAATCTCATTTAAGAGGCTCTACAATGCCGTGAGGCATGTTGCAATCGGAATAGTGTCATCTGCAAACAGAAGCATCTAGAGGACCTCTCCATCCACAAAGAATCTCTCGTTGGTTTAGGTTGTCCATAAGATGTTCTCTATGACAATGGCCAACAATATCTCTCTGTTTTATACCTAACTTGACATTAATAATCATAAGGTCATCAAATGAATTTATCTCTGTTGTTACACATGTCCAGGAATCTTGAATGATTTTGACAAATACATGGGGAAAAACCTTGTTAAAGCTGAGCCTTTAAAGTGGTGTTTTTACCTTATGAATCAATTTTTAGTAGTCAATCAATGAATAAAGTAGGATCCTATATTCTCAGAGATGTATCTAAAATGGGTGACTTCAGTGTTCTCCATCAGGGAGGGAATTGCCCAAAAGTAGGACCAAGGGCTGCTGACAGTAATTTAATTTTTCTAAGGAAGAAGGTAAAGGTAAAACCTGGTGGTTGGCTGGGAGTTTTCTCTTTTAACCACCTTTAATCGATTTTTAAAATAACATTTTATTTTTCCCCAATTACATCTGAAAACAATTTTAACATTCTTTTTTTTTTAAGTTTTGAGTTCCAAATTTTATCCCTTCCTCTCTCCCCCCACCCAAGATGGTAAGCAATCTGATATAGGTTATACATGTACAATTGTGTAAAACATCGTTCTATGTTAGTTATTTTGTGGAAGAAAACTTAAACTAAAAAAAGAAAGTGAAAAGTAGTATGCTTCAGTCTGTGTTCAGACATCGGTTCTTTCTCTGGAGGTGGACAGCATTTTTCATCATGAGTCCTTTGGGATTGTCTTGGATCATTGTATTGCTGAGAATAGCTAAGTCATTCACAGTTGTTCATCATACAATATTGCTGTTACCATATACAGTGTTCTCCTGGTTCTGCTCACCTCACTTTGTATCAGGTCATGTAAGTTCAAGGTTTTCTTGAAATCATACTGCTCATCATTTCTTATAGCACAATTAATATTCCATTACAATCATATAACATAGTTTGTTCAGCTATTCCCCAATTGATGGGCATCCCCTTAATTTCCATTTCTTAGCCACCACAAAAAAAGCTGCTATAAAAATTTTTGAACAAGATTCTTTTCCCTTTTTTTGATCTCTTTGGGATACAAACCCAGTAGCGGTATTGCTGGATCAAAGGGTGTGCACAGTTCATAACCCTTTGAGCATAGTTTCCCCTAATTCATTTTCAAAGCTTTTCTATCAAAAGAGTATAACTTTACTCAAATTTATTTCCTTGTTTGCAAAACATATGTGCAAGAAAGATTAATCTAGGCACTTGTGAGGGAGCTCGGCAGTTTCCATCAGGCCATGA